GCGAGGCAGCGGGGCACCGTGCGCTGCCCCATCGCGGGCTGCCCCGTCCCTCGGGGTTGTGCTCACACGTGCAATGAGCTGCGCCCGGTCTCAGCGCACACACACACACACACACACACACACACTGCGGGGCTATGGGATCCCGGGAGGGGGGTGTGATCGGGAGCTCCCTATGGGCTATGGGGCGGGTGGGAAGCCTCTGCCCCTCCGCTGCCCCTTTTCCTGCCCCATTCCCAACCGCGGTGCTCAGACACCCACAGGGGCACCGCTTGTCCCTCCGCAGCACCCATAGCGGCCGTGCCGCCAAACCCCACCTCCTCGGGCCCACTGCCACGCTCTGATTGGTCCCTTTTCCTGCCCGTCTACTCCGCCGCTCTCCGATCTCTACGCCCATTGGCCGTTGTAAGGAAATGGGCGCTCTGAATGGCTGGGTTTGACATAGGCACCGCCCCGTCGGCTGAGACAGGAAGGGAAGATGGCGGCGGCGCTGGCGGCGGATGAAGCAGGTACCGGTAGCCCCGGTCCCGGTCCCGGTCCCTCTCGCCGGTCCCTTTGCTGAGCGCTGTCCCCGCAGAGCGGGCGCGGGGCCGTCGGGCCGCGCTGTCCTTCGCGACCATCGCCGTGGTGCTGGGGCTGCCGCTGTGGTGGAGAACGACCGAGACGTACCGCGCCGCGCTGCCCTACGGCGACATCGCGGGGCTGGCCCGGCTGCCGGTGAGTGAGGGCCGGGAGCGGGGCTCCGCGGGGCAGCGGCTCGGGCTGACGCTGCCGCCGCCGCTTCAGTTCCAGCTCTCGGTGCCCGTCGCTGTGGTGTTCGCGCCGGGGTCGCTGCCCCGGGACCTGCTGCGGCCGCTGCCGTTCAGGGACGTGCAGGAGATGGAGATACCGGTGAACGGTGAGAGCCTGCGGGTGTCCCTGCGCCTTTGGGGGGGGGGGGGGCGCGGCCTTCCTTCCCTGCGGGGTCCCCAGACACGCGATCACCAGCAGTACCCGGTGCTGTACCGGGGAGGAATGGGGACAGCAGCGTGCCCAGGGTGCCACAGGAAATAAACCACGTCCCTTCCCTAGGGAGAGGGATAAAGTCAGTCCTCGGAGGGGGGGATGCGCCCTGCATGGCGTGGGGCTGCCCTCCCGGATAAGGCTACATGCCATGGTGTGTCACTCACCTGAGCTTGGTGCCCAAAGGATCCTGTGGTGTGTGCCCCCTGGGGTTGTCCCTTGTTCTTCTTAGTCCTATGAAGGACCAGGGAACTGGGATTAATGGATGCGATCAGGTTCTGTCCCCCTCCCTGTCAGTGAGAACCAGCGTCACGTCCCGCTACGAGATGCTCTATCGCAGCACCACGGCTCAGGAGGAGGCAGCGCTGGATGCGGCTACTGCACAAGGTACCAGGATGAGGGTGTGTGGGAGCAGGGGGAGCAACCTCTTCCTTCAGAGGCTGTGGGATGGGGATTGGAGTGGGATTCCCAGCCTTTCTAATGCCTCTGTCTTCCCCAGAGGCTGACGCTGCTCTGCACCTGCTGCAGGGCACCTCCTTGGGCTCTCTGACCATGTACGTGGTTCCTGAAACCTCCCCTCTCCTGCCTCAGGTAGGGAGCAGCACCCTGTGGTGCCAGCCTCTTCACACTTCACCCCTCAAAGGTGCCCTGGGGAGGCATCCATCCCCAGGCTGTCCCAGCAGGCACCACGGTGCTGTTTTCCACCGTGTTGGCAGGAGCCCGCTTTCATCCCTGCCCTTTTCCCAGGGGATCAATGCCTACGTGGGGAAGCACCGCAGTGCCCTGGTGAGGGCTGTGGGGATGCTGCCCGCCCTCCGCTCCCGCCTCCAGGAGCTCACTCAGGTGATGTCCTTCACTGCCAGCTCCATCACTGCTGCCCTCTCAGACCGTGTGCCCAATGGCCAGCCTGGCCCCGATGCCCGGAGGAACTTGAAATCCAGCCTGGGTATGGATGTGACCCTGCAGCCCCATTCCCTGACCTCTGTCTGTCGGGGAACATCCCATTCCTGCTGTCCTAGTACCACCCCCGGGTGTCTTCTGCGGTAACAGACACCAGGGTCTTCCCTTTGCCCTTGCTGTGTGCTGGGGCACGGGTCCATGACCCCACTTTGGGAAGGAGCTTGGAAGAGGGTGTCAGCTCCTGCTGCTCTTGCCCAGCCTCAGCATCCAGTGGCACTGCCTGTGCTGATGCCTCACAGGCTGTGTGTCCTTGGCAGGGTACGAGATCACCTTCAGCCTCCTGAACCCCGACCCCAAGTCCCACGATGTGCACTGGGCCATCGAGGATGCTGTGAGCCGCTACGTGCAGCCCGTCCTGGACAAACTGAGCTTGGTGGCCAACTTCTCTGTTGATTCACAGGTGAGGGTTAGGAGAGGCGAAGGGGGGAGCCCAGCCCTGCTGTCCCTGGGTGCCCTGGGACGTGCTGCTCTGCCAGCAACGCCTTTGCCGTGTGCCTGCAGATCCTGTACTATGCCGTCCTAGGAGTGACGCCGCGCTATGACAAGGAGTCCTCCAGCTTCCTCCTGAGTGCTCACAGCCTCCCACACGTCATCAACCCCGTGGAGGCCCGGCTGGGTGAGCACTGTGCTCCTGGCCAGGCTCTGCTGAGGTCTATGGCCTGTGTCCCCTCTCTGCCCTGCAACCCCCGATGGCAGTGAGGGTGACCGAGCAAGCAGTGTTTTGCTGTGCAAGGAGGAGCAGGGCTGGGTTCTTCTCTCACCATCCCCACCATCCAGGGGGGTTCTTTGGCTCTATCCCACTGCAGGCTCCAGTGCTGCCTCACTCTACCCCGTGCTGAACTTCCTGCTGTATGTTCCGGAGCGCTCCCATTCTCCTCTGTACATCCAGGATAAGGATGGAGCCCCTGTGAGCACCAATGCCTTCCACAGCCCTCGCTGGGGCGGCATCGTGGTAAGGGGCCATTGGGGTTGCTGGCTATGGTGGTGGCTCCTCATCCTCACAGTGCTGGTGGCCCTGCCAGCGCCAGGGCTCTTGTGCCTCACTGACATGTTTTCCTACAGGTTTACAATGTGGAACCTCCTGCTTCCCCCCAAGCCTCCCTCCCGCTGCGCGTGGATGTGGACATGGCGCGAGTGATGGAGATTTTCCTGGCCCAGCTCCGGTGAGGATGTTCTCTTCCCTCCCCAGGCCTCTGTGTGCTCCCTTGGCCCATGTGGAAATCAATGGGGTTGGAGCCAGGCCATTAGGCACAGTTAAGCCCTGCTAGGACTGAATGAAGCAGGGAAAGGGAAAAGCAGGGAGCACGTGTGGGTCTGCAGGTGTGTGATGTGGGCTGGAACCTTCCCTTTTATCCCAGATTACTTTTTGGGTTATCTCGGGAAGAGCTGCCCCCAGAGTTCCTGCTGGAGAGCCCTGGGAATGAGGGGCTGGCTGACTGGGAGCTGGACCGCCTGCTCTGGGCGCACACCGTGGAGAACATCGCCACCGTCTCCACCACCTTGACCTCGCTGGCCCAGCTCCTGGACAAGATTGGGAACATCGTCATCAAAGATGATGTTGCCTCTGAGGTAGGGCTGGAGCACCCTGAGGTGGGGGCCGGGTGCTGCTGTGGGTGAGAGCCCAGGCTTCTCTGGTCCTCCCTGTCCAGGACCTGACCATTGGTGTTGTTCCCATGCAGGTGTACCGAGCAGTGGCCTCAGCACAGAGCGCCATGGACAAGCTGGCCGCAGGCCATCTGCACCCAGCCTTCCAGGCCAGCAAGGAGGCAGCCACGTCCTCGGAGCGAGCCTTCTTTGACCCATCTCTCCTCCATCTCCTCTACTTCCCTGATGACCAGAAATTTGCCATCTACATCCCGCTCTTCCTGCCCATGGCTGTCCCCATCCTCCTCTCCCTGGCCAAGATCATCCGGGAGACCAGGCAGAAGAAGAAGGAGCCCACCAAGATGGACTGAGCCCATTGTCCTGGTGCCCTCTCTTAGGGTTGGGGCTGTCCCTACCTTATGGAGCCTGTTGTCATGGACCAGTGGCCCAAGAAGGTGCCCTACAATGGTGCCAGGGCTGTGTGCAGCAGCTTGGCTCAGGCCTGCTGTGGCCAAGCTCCAGGAGTGGGAAGAGGCTGCTTTGAGGGGTGGGAAATGCTCTGGATCAGCAGAGATCAGTGAGGAGGGGCCCTGTGCTCTGTTTGGAACAAGCTGCTCTATAAATAAAGACAAAACCCCAGTTGTGCTGGGGGCTGGTGTGGGGCTGTGTGAACCTCTCAGCTGTGTGGGTGCCCCTGTGCCCCATTATTGACTTATGGGGTCTGGCTCCTGTCTTAGGGGTAATATAGTCCAAAGCACTTGTTATGGGGGACAGTTACAAGGTTCAGCTTTTGGAGGGCAGTTAATGGTGCCCATCTTGTTGATGGGTATTGAGGCAGTTAATCTTAATGGGGTCTGGTTCATGTGGTCACTATATTAGCCTGAGGCAGTTGGGGAGGCAGTTATGGGGCTGTATGAGGTTATGGCACTGATGACACTGAGCAGCCCTGAGGAGAAGGACTTGGGGCTGTCAGTTCACGTCGGTCCCCATGACCTGGCTTCAGTTTGCGCTTGAGCCCAGAACCACCCCCCTTGTGCTGGGCTGCACCCGCAGAGCATGAGCAGCAGCTCAGGGGGGGATCCTGCCCCTCTGCTGCTCTCTGGGACGACCCCCCCCGCAGTCCTGATCCAGCTGTGGGGCAGCAGCACAAGAGGGACGTGGAGCTGCTGAAGCGAGGCCATGGAGATGCTGTGAGGGCTGGAGCAGCTCTGCTCTGGAGCCAGGCTGAGAGAGCTGGGCTGGGTCAGCCTGGAGAAGAGAAGGCTCCTGAAGGGGAGACCTGAGAGCAGCTCCAGTGCCTGAAGGGGCTGCAGGAAACCTGGAGAGGGGCTTGGGACAAAGGATGTAGGGACAGGACAAGGGGATACCGAGGTCTGTGCCCCCCGGGGCCGGGGGAAGCGCCTTCTCCTCCCGCGGAGGGGCTGGGCCGGGCGGGGGGCGGAGCGGCGATGCCCCTCCCGGTGCGGCGGGGCCGGCGGCGGCGCGCAGAGGGGCCGGGGCCGCTCACACCGGCAGTGGCGGCGGGGCCATGAAGGTGAAGAAGAGCGGCGGGGCCGGGGCGGCGGCGGCGCGCACCGAGGAGGAGCTGGGCCGTAAAGCGCTCATCGGGCCGGACGACGTGCTGGGGCTGCAGCGGGTCACCAGCGGTGGGTACCGGGGGTATGGGGTACCCGTAGGGTCTGGGTACCGCTAGGGACCATGGGATGCCGGACCTGGAGGGCTCGGGGCTGGGGATGCTGCCGTCCCCGATCTTCCTCCTAGGGATGCACAAGCTGTAGAAGCCCCCTCATGCAGGGGTCAAAGATGGTGAGATGCTGCTGGGTGCTCTCCTCATCACCCCTCTTCTCTTGTCTGTGCCCATGATGACCCCCACATCAGTGGGGCTGGGGGGTACCATCGAGGGGGGGCTTCTCTGCAGCCCCAGTTTCCCTTTTCCCAGCATAGCATCACTGGTCTTGAGAGCATCCTCGGGAGCGTGGTGGTTGGGGGGGGGGTGTGTGTGTGGGGGGTGTTTGTTGTGCTTGGCAGAATGATCAGACAGGACCAGGCGGCACAGCGAGCTGGGATAAGGCATGTCCCAGCAATGCCCAGGGGTCTCCTGCCCCACTGCCCCCCAAAAAGGCATTTTTGCATGTCCAGGGCCCTTTTGGGTTGTCTCTGTGCTGGCAGCAGGTTGTGCAGGGGGAGAAGACTTGGGGCGGGGAGGATGGAGCTGGTCTGGGTGTCCTGCTCTTTGCCTTGGAGCGCTCTGTGGCGTGGCGCTGGAGCAGGATTCGTGTCGCAGGCCAGGGCGAAGGATGCGGCTGCGGGTATCCGTGCGTGCAGGCAGCGCTGGGGGCCTGTGTGTGTGAGCAGGGAGGGAGGAAAGCCCTGCAGGGGCTCAGGAAAAGGGGTTGTGGAGGCTCCTCTGCTGGTGCAGGGATGCTCTGATGGGCTGCAGCAGTGCCCAGGCCCTCCGTGGCAGGGGGAGCCGTGCAGCAGCAGGCACTGGAGTGTGCTCAGAGGAGCGGTTAGATGGTGAAGCCAAGCACCGAGCACTCTGCGTGCTTGCTTCATGGTAGTGCCGTGTACAGGGGCTGCAGGCATGTGGCCACCCCATACCCTAGCATGGCATCGGTGTGAATGGTGCATGGCTCTTGGTAAGCTCATTCCCAATGTGCAGGCAGGGCTGAGATGGACACCTTGGCTTCAGAGCCCAGCTGGGAGCAAGGCTGGTGATTGCTTGCCTCTTCCAACCATGGGGCACAGGGAAGATGTGAAATGCATGAGGGTATTTTGCTCCTCTTCTGCTGTAGGACTTGGTACAGGGAGTGCAATGGGTCGTGTCCAGCAAGAGCCAGGCACTGTGCTGACCAGTGGGTAATGCCTTCCTATGGGAAATGCTGGGATGGTACACAGGAGCCAGCAAATGCTGTCTGCGCTGAACTCCTCAGTATGCATTTGGGGATATGGATATACAATACATCCACGTTGAGCATATTGTATCTGATCACTTGGGAATGTTCTGCAGCACCTCTTCTCAAGCTCAATTTTCCACCTGGTGGGTTTAGTACAGGGAGGAAAAGGTAACAAGAACGTTCTTCTGTCCCTTAACACATGATGGTTATTTGGGGCATTTGATGTTCTTTTCTCCTCTCCACACACCAGTGAGCTCCTAAAACAGATTGCCAAAAATACCAATGTGAAACTGTTCCAGTCTACTGCTCCGAGCGGAGGATGCTGCAGGGAGGAGGAAGGAACAGACTGTAGGAGAGACATTCATGGCTCCCCCAGCCCCAGCCTCTCCCATGGAGATGCTGAGTTGGAGCAGACTCAGTGTCCTATTTCAGCAACCCTGGGTTTGGTGCCCAAAGTTGTGGTGCTCCAGCTTGGAGTTGAAGAGGGGAGTTGGTGGTGGGGTTGCAGCAGAAATGTCCCGGTGTCCTGGACATCCTTTGCTGTTCCAGATGGAGTATAATTCATCTCTGTCCAAACTCATGGGGTGGTAACGTGTTGAGGGACATGTTAAGCCATGTGCTGCCCAGGGTCTGGCTGTAGTTTAACGTTGCTCCAGCAAACGAAGCCCAGGATAAACCATGCTAGAGCAGGGCTTGGACTGCAGGGATGCTTACAGCATGAGTATCCTGTGTGTTTCTGAATGGCCTTCCAGCTTGAGTAGGGAGAGGCAGGATCCTGGCTACTGTATGGAGTGTGATAACTCCATATAGGTCCAGGTCCAGAAAGGACTTCATAGCATGGCTGCCTGGCTCCGTGCTCACACCTAAGCTGGCCCTTGCAGCCCTGCATGTGCCTGGGGTGTGCTGATGGTGCAGATGCTCTTTTGGAGCCAGGGTTTGCTGTGTTATCCTTGCTCTGCCTGCTGTGGAGCTCCTCAATACTTCCTGATATAGGGGGTGAATCTGCTCCCCCTTCAGCCCTAGAAGAGCTGGGTCTCTGTGGAGCCAAGCTGCTTATCATCACTGCCTGCTGACCAGGCAGCACATCAGCCCTGCTCTGGCATGTTGGGGCTAGGGAAAGCCCTTGCTGTTGCGCCAAGAAGCACAGCTGGGCTTTCCCCTTCCAACAGGTAAATAATAGGTGATAAATGACCAAATAATGAGGCTGGGAGAGTGGAGATGCAGGATGTGGCTCTGTGGTGTAAGCATGTTTAGTGCTAACATGAAGGAACCCGGTCTGTGACCAGCCACAAGAGCCAGCTGGGTTCTGCTCTTAATGTTCTAATAAGCTTAAAGGGGGAGCTGTGCAAACTACCCTGCATATGCTGCATCCTTCCAATGCTCAGTTCCCCAGCAGCTCCAGGGTTGTAACGTTTCCGGGGTCCAGCCTCATGGATCTGGGATGCTACCTTGGAATATCTGTGCCTTTTGGCTGGGCTGGCCCTGGCCCTGCTCCAGCTGGATGAGGTGTGAGGCGAATGAGCCCTTTTCTTGGCAATTAGCAGGATTTGTGGCTTGCTCACACAACTGCGGTTACAAAAGGAGGAAAAACCTTAGGATGTGATTAATTTAAGATCATAAAGGAGAGGGGCAGAGCTCAGTTCAAATTGCAGTTAATTACTGAAGCAGCCAGAGGATTGGAGGAGTCTGCCTGCAGTGACTGGGTTGTCGATGCCTGTGAATGCCATGTGCTGCCTCCTGGAGCCTCCTGAGATGAGCTTAAAGCCAGGCTGGATGGGCTTGGAGCAAGCTGCTCTAGTGGAAGGTGTTGCTGCCCATGGCAGAGGCTGGAACTGGATGAACTTTAAGGTCCCATGCAAACCCTTCTATGAATCTATGAAAGCCTCTGCAAATCACAGCTTCAGGGACCTGGACACTTCATCTGTAATACTACGTGAGGGCTTACATTTTAAGCTTCATTCTAAAGCTTATTTTAGCAAAGCAAAGGGTTAAATAAATTGATTACATACCTGGAAACAATTACAAAACAAAACCTAAAAATAAGGAAGAGGCACTTAATTATTTCTGAAACTAATCTCTTCCCTGAGCTGTCATTTAGGATTTCTCTGAGTCTTCTCTTAGCAGCTTTAGCTAAAGGCCAGTCAGGGTAGAGCCTTAATGGGTGACTTCCCTACCAGTAGCATTAACAAGAGGATGTGCAGGAGGCCCCTCCTGGACCATCACTTTTTTCCCCCAATTAATTAGGGATATTTATTGTATCAGGAGCTGTGATTAGCTGGGGGTGTTTGTGAGGAGGGTCTGAATCACTGTTCTGAGTTGTCTGGGGCTGTGGTGAGTTAAAGCATGTTGCTGTGTTGATTTCTGGTCACGGAGCGATACCCCAGAGCTGTGTCAAGCTGCTCTCCCCACGACTCCTTTCCCCAGCAACACCACATATGTTGGGAACCCTTTCAAGGCTTTGTGATAACGCGCAGCTCGAAGTGTTGTGTAGATGAAGAGCTGTTTCTTTAGTAGTCTCACAGCACAATACGGGCTGTGAAGACCTCCAGGGGCTGCACACATGGTGTGTGTGTGTAGCGCAGTGGGTTCCTCCTTTTGCCAGTGCTGTGGGTTTGAGCCATTCCTGGTGGAAAAAGCAAAGATAAGAGTTCAAGTGGAAGTTTTCTGTTAAAGTCTAGGTTGGATGGGGCTTGGAGCAACCTGGTCTAATGGAAGATGTCCCTCCCTGTGGCAAAGGGTTGGGACTGGATGAGCTTTAAGGTCCCTTCCAACCCAAACCATTCCATGACTCTTATAGAGAGAAGCTGTGGCATACACCAGGGGAATCAGCCTGGGGCCTGATTGCCTTCTGTAAGAGCAAGGGGAGCTGATTTTGTTAATGTGCACATGGTTTCAGACTTTGAGTGCAATCAGCATGAACAAGGGGGCAGGAAAGGGTGTTTGGTTGCCTTGGGAATGGGAGAAGAGCAGCTCCATCCTTCCTCAGCAAGGCCTGGAGGGCTGTGATCAAATGAATGGTGAGAGGGTGAAATCTGGAAAGCTTTAGCTAAAAAAAGATGGGAAAAAAAAAAGAGCAGGCTGCCACAAAAAGCAGAGCTGTTGAGCTGTGCAGCAGGACTCGGTGCATGGAGTGCTGCCAGCTGGATGCATTTTATGGGCTATAGGGACCTTGGTAAATGCCCCAGCTCAGAGCCTCTGGGCTGCATCCCTCTGCTCCATCCCCAGTGTTGGTCAGTGAATGTGGTGCTGTAGGGAAAATAACCCATGGGATCCTCCTAGCGTGAGATTTTCAAAGCAGGCTCATTACTGAGATAAGCAGGAGGGCTGTAGGTACCTCCCTCCCTGCTTACCCCCAGTCTTCGCTTATGCAAACCCAATGGCTTTAGGACTGGAGTGGATCCTGACTGGCTTAGCTTGTTCTTCTGCCTTTATGGGCCTTGAACTGCTGAGACAGAGGGCAGGGGAAATGGTTTGGATATTTCTGTGATTGAACCCTGGTTGTCTAAGCAGACATACCAGCACTGCTTGAAACGTGCCCTGCCTTCCCCTCGGGGTCTTGCACTCTGTCCTGCGTCACCGCTCTGCATCTTCATGGGGTTCCTGCTATTTTTGCTCACTTCCTTCTGAGACTCTTCAATCTGATAATCTGCTAATCTCCAGCTCCTGGCGATTCAGCTGCACTTGTCTTTGCTCTATACCTGGCTTACGTCTTGGGAGTTGTCTTCAAAATAGCTCCTGACCTTGTTGGCTAATGCGTGTTAAGAAAGAGGCCTGCATAGCTGCAGGAGCCTTCTCATTCCCCACATTCTTGTTATTGCTTGTGGTGGAGAGAAATGCCTATTGCAAATCACTGCTGTTGCATTAGTTTCTTCTACAGCATCCTTATGACTTGCACCCATTTTTCCTAACCGGATTAGGTTAGGAAAAATTAGGTTCTTACCCTAGGTACACTCTTTTTGTATCTGTGGGCTATTAAAGCCTTAAAATAGGAACCCAATCTGAGTTTACGCACTCTGATGAGCACTGCAGAAGTATCTGTAGTGTCTGTGAGGGGGGACACGTGCTTTGTCCTGGTGGCAGAGAAGGAGAAGGGATCTTGACAGGAAAGTGTTGACCCTATTGCCCATGAACTCCTCGTGATAAAATGTGTCTGGTGGGGTGGTTGTGATGGAAATCTGAAAATAGAGGATGGACTTTTAGCTTTCTCTGATGAGGATCAAACACTTAATCTCATCCAGTGGATAACTGAAATAACAGGTAGAGGGTAAGAGGAGAAAGTGCCTTCCTTAGCTGTCATCTTGTGTTATCTAGCACCGTATTATCCCTCACCTTTTGTGCTCTTTGGTAACACCATCTTGCTAAAATACACTGGCTGGAAATACACACCAGGGTTCACAGTGTACCATTGTTTGCAAGAGAATAGGCTGGGCATGCTCTCATTGTCTAAGGCTGTTTGGCCGGTTTCTGTTGCAATCTTGGCTGGTTTGGGGAGGGGAGGAAGGGTTCCTGGAGGAGAACCCGCTCTTCTCTGGGATTGTAAACAGGGAATGAGCATCCATTGTTTCTGATAGCAAAGCTAGAGATCTCTGAATGAAAGCCTTGCTATGGATTGCTGTCTGGGGGTTGTTTTGGAATCACTTTTTCGTACAAAGGGAATAGGAGAATTCGTGAAGGAATTTTCACAATCGCCTCTGCTGCTTCCTGAGACCACCACGGCGATGCTAGTTATGCTTCCAAACTCTTCAAAACCATGATAGGTCTTCAGATAGGGAATGTAGGTGCAGATCTTGGGGCGTGATACGGGGATTATGGGAATGAAGCTGCAGAGGCACCAGCAGGAATGTGTGATGTGAGAAGTAGCTGCTAATACCAGGGTTGGGCCAGTTGCAGGAGTTTACTGTGGAAACAAGTTCAACTCAGTTGGGAAACGTTTTCCAGGAAGTTTGGGGATGTGGGAATTCACCTGGCTTTAGGAAGGAGTAGGAAAAGCTCCTCTCTTGTGACCTGTTTTTGCACTAGTCAGTGTGAGTACTTCAGGACAAAAGCCAATCTCTTGGGTTTCCTGAGACCGGGCTGATATGTCCATCCCTTCGTTCATTGTTCACACTGTGCTCTCTATCACGCCTGAATGAGGAGAGCACTGAAGGCTTGTTCAGGGAGATACTGTCATTATTTGGTTCTTCATGGGGAAATCTGCTTCAGGAGGAGAAATGGAAGAAACAAGGAAACGTTCAGAGACCAAGCCTACTTTCCTTGCCGTGATCCCCTTCACTCAGTGGAGGTTTGAGCTGTCTAACTAAAATAGGCATGGATGCTGTCTCCACATCCCAAAGTGTGGTGACGGTGAATTAGGATAATGAAAGCACATGATGCATTTAAATGCGTCATGGAAGTGTGGGCAACTGGGCCCTACAGGAGTTTAAAAATAAGTCTGTTTGGGATGAGATTAGCAAATTTGACAGTGCTCAGCAAAGCAGAAGTACCCACCAATTGCAAGCAGCCTGTTCCCAGTCACACCTTCCAGTGTAGCTGTGGGATTCTGTAATGCACTGGGGGGAAGAAAACCCAGCATGTGGCTACTTTGATTTTTGAACAGGAATTGCAGCAAGCAAATGCAATACAGACAGAAAGGAATATATATATATATACACATCTCTTTGTTTTTCCTGCTAGGAGACTGGGCACTGCCAGAGGAGGCAAACCACTTGATTGCAGTATTTTGGCAGCTGATCTTCCCAGATGTCATCCAGTTAGACACTGGCATGTTGACTTAAAACTCCAAATAGGTTTAAAATATTAAGGTTTAAAATATTTTCAGTGCACAGAAAGAGTTGGGGTGAAAACATCGATGAGCAGGAGCCTGGTGGGGCTTGTGTCCAGGGTTGACTCCTCTTTGGTGGCTCTGCTTGGCTCTCCTCTCCTCCAGATGAGTCATGGACACTGTTACTGCAGCAACGCTGCTGCCAAGCAGGGGGATAAAGCTGTTGCCATGGTGCTGGATGGGCAGGAATTCTGCAGGAGTAAAACCACTTAATAATTAACTTGCAGACAAACGCAGCCTCAGACTTGCCTGCGTGCTCGAGGGAAGGTGTCCCGGGCTCCCGGGCGACTGAACCAGGCTCTAGTTCAGCCCCTCACTGGTCTGAGTGTGGTCGTGGGCCAAGGGAAGCCAAGCTGAAGCCATGGGAAGCTGCTCCTGCTTCTGCCAGTTTGTGCTTTGCTGTTTGGAGCAGGGGAAGCTGTGGGATGGGTGAAGGATTTGGGCTGGGTGATGAGTTTAGAACCTGAAGTCATTGTGTAGTTACAGGACATCTACCTAAGGATTGCTGAACCTCAGGGCTTAAGGCAATGGGTTGACATAGATTTCTGTTCCCTCTCCTCCTCTACTGTTAAAAAGAGGATTTTTGTGCTGTTTTTAGGCGATTCTGTCTGACATTAGTGCTTTCTTGTGGTAGTGAGAAGGTTGAGCTTTTATCTTGCTCTCCCTGACAGCTTGGGTACTTGTGTTAGTTTTCCTTTGTGCTGTGTTGACAGGAAAGGGAAACCTCCCTGCCAAATGCCAGAGATACTTTGAACACAGTCCTCTCCCTTAAAGGCGAAACCTTTGAGTGCTCACCCGATGGTGGTGGTGATGGAGAGCAATAAAAGTGTCCAGAGAGTATATTTAACACCTCTGTCCCTTGTACTGGTGAGCGCTTGGAGTGTTCTCCGAGTTGAGGAGATCTGCAAAGAATAAAATGCTTCTAGGAAAGCAGAGGTGCTGGATGTGCAGTTCATGCTAGGAGCAATCTTCCCCAGTGCTGACTACAGCTGTCTTTGTCTCTCCCTACAGAGGGACCTGATTGCTGTAATTACACATCCCAGCATGAGGGCCTCGCTGTCTGGTACTTGCAATGTGTGGCCTTTAGGATCTTCTCTTACTACACCACAGCAATCTTTTATTAACTCCTTATCTATGGGATGTGCTAACCACTGCCCTTGAGCAGTAACCCCCAACCATGATGTAAGATTTGTTATACCCAAGTAAGGGTTGTGATGGGTTAGGTGTGATCTCTGAGTAACAGATCACACTTTGTTTTCAGATCGTCAATGAATAAGCCTTAAGTGGATGGGTGTATTTGAATTTTAGGCACAGGAAAGCAGACAGGAATAAGTGATTAACTCAGACTAGCAGCAGGAATTAGTAGCCGAGAAAGGGTTTAGAATTAGAATGTTGAAGCATTACTTTCACCTTAGAACCTCCAAGTCTCCTGCAATCTGCAGACGCACAGTTGGTCAAAAGTTAACCTTGCTTGTATCCATGCCTTTATTTAAATGCATTTATTTAGGATAAAGGAAGTTACTGGAGCTGCTTTCTGTGCTTGTATGTGCAGTGAAAATGAAGTACCACTGCTCTTTACCCAGAAAGGAGGCTGGTACCCTGATCAGGAAGCCGTCTCAGGGCACAGCAAGGCTGAAGCCACAAACAGTGTCTTTGTCCCAGAGATACCAGCTCTGGTGGAAGCAGGGAAGGGCTTCGTTCCCAGACTGTTTTCCTACTACAGAGAAAAGCTTCGACACCATTTTCAGTGCTGAAGAAGTAGAATCCTTGCCTGGGACAAGCATCAGTGGAGAGAAGAGGCCATCCTTTGTCTGCAGAGGGCTGGAGATAGGGAAGGTGGCACAAGGGAGGACACTCCAGTTCCAGTTAAGTGCAGCTTAGTGGTCACAAAGCTGCTTAGCAGTTGTGTTCTGCCAGAGGGCAGTTTTTAAACCAGGCAAAGCCTCTTACACAGAAAAAGGGTAGGATTTGATGGAGGTGCTGACTATTCTCGATGCCCCGAGGAGAAACGGATGCAGAAGATGCTGGCATAGGGTTGGGAAAAGGCGATGACCTCCCTGTCCTGTCCAAGCAGGGTGGTGTGAGCATTCAGACCTGAGACTGTCTTCATAGGCATCACTTTTGCATTACAAACAGTAGCAGTGGAGATGCCTTTGGGCTGCTCTCACTGCTGGCTGTGACCTTTAAAGAATAGCCAGAAATACCTTGGTAGCTGTGGGCAACCTTCATTTGTATTTCCTTTCCTCTGCAGATTATTTGTGCACTCCAGAGGAAAATGTTTACAAGATAGACTTCACCAGGTTCAAAATCCGGGACATGGAATCTGGCACAGTCTTGTTTGAAATCACCAAACCAGCAGCTTCAGGTGAGTGCACACACATATTTTCATGGCCAAACCAACGCTAGTGTCTGCTCCCTTTTGCCTTTTCCTACTCATTTTTCTCCATACATTTCCCCAAAACAGGAGGTGCTCTCAGCTGCAAGAGGGTTAGAGGCTCAGCCTGCACCAGAAGTATCATTCAGGTGTCCTTTTGTACCAACACAGTGAACAGAACTCATTGCTGCTGTAGTCATGACTGCCATCTGTGATGAGAAGGGACAGATGGGTGTTGTAAACAGAGACAGAGGAGGAGGAGGAGGTCACCGCGTGTTCGTTTCATGCTTGTTCATCAGCTTGAGTCTCCCTGTACATAGTTTAACATCTTTCCCTCAGGATCAGGAAAATGGTATTTCCAAAAGGGAAAATATCAACTGTGCAAATTAGACAAATGGAAAGTTTCCCTTTTTTTTTTTTTCCCTTTTTCATAATTTTTCAGTGTTAGTTATAACCATCAAAGTGTTACCTATTGCCAGTGGTAATAAAACCCTAGGGCAAACATTCTTTTCCTGATCAAGCACTCTTCTAAGAAGGTTTCTGGAAGTTCTCTGTAGCTTGTAGCTAGCAAACCAGACATGCTAAGGTGAAACACCTTGTTCAGTGTCATACTGCAGTCCTGAATCAGAGGTGGGAGCAATAAATCACGTTAGATCAGAAGAAGTGCATCAAACCAAAGGGCCATCCTCTGTCTCGGAGTAACCAGCAGTTGGTGCCTTCAAGAGGATCAGGCTTCCTCAGAAGAGCTTCCTGGCTTTTATGACTCAATAACGTGTGACTGCAGGCATTTTCACTGGGTTTCTGTTTCTCAGACTTGCCTTTGTGCTTTTCCAGAACGTGAACACAATGACAGGAAGGACATTGATCCCAATGCTGGACGGTTCGTTCGCTATCAGTTTACTCCAGCTTTTCTCAGACTTCGGCAAGTGGGAGCCACGTAAGTAATTGCTCCTGGGCTGCATTTTCTAGTACAGGAAACAACTGAAATCCTATTAAAAAATGGCTCTGGCTTGTTGATCCTGTCAGGAAGTTGATTTAATGGGGACTTTGTGTTGTTAGGAGGATTTCCAAGCCTCTTTGCTGGGTGCTTTGCTTTCTCCATCCCTTTAGCTTGTTTATTTACCTCTGGAATAGGCATGGAGTTGAAGAGATTCATGCTCAAAGGTGCAAAATAAGGTGGACAGACTACCAGATATTCCAGTGCTTTTCTGTGCATTATAGTTTGTCAGAGGCTCTGCCAGCTTTGGAAGATACTCTGCAGCCTTTAATCCATAGATGCACGTGAAATGGTGAAGTAATGTTTAATGCTTTATGTACTCAAATGATCTTTGATGTGGCTGGTAGCGCTGCTTGCATCCATCAATGAAACACACCATGGAGATTTGGCTTTTTTTTTTAGTGCCCACCCAAATAAGTTGTATAAAACCACACAGTGATAAGGAACTTGTAGTCAGTGGTAGTGAAGTGCCTATGGTGTAGCTGGAGGGATCTTTCCTTCACTGCAAATGAGTTTAATTGTAAAATTGTCATGCATGTCTTTTGAGTGAAAAGAATCAGACTATAGTATAACCTGTGGTTTGTAATGCTCTGTTGCGCCCGTGTAGCTTTAAGAAAAGATAATGGTTTGGTTAGTACCATTGCTTTATGTTTTTGGCTGGTGTTTGTTTTAGAAGAGCTCTCTTCTACCTTTCAGCAATGGTTGCAAATCTTGCTTAAGTGAGAAAGCTCATTGCGATCTTCTTCTTTTTCAGGGTGGAGTTCACAGTAGGAGACAAACCCATTAATAACTTCCGCATGATTGAGAGGCACTACTTCCGGGATCAGTTGCTTAAGAGCTTTGATTTTGAATTTGGGTTCTGCATCCCCAGCAGTAAAAATACTTGTGAGCACATCTATGAGTTCCCACAGCTCTCCGAGGATCTCAGTAAGCTCTTTAATTATTGGGTGACCACACAGTGATGCTAATCTCAGTGTTTTGAGCAAGCCCTTTCCTAAAAGCTGGCTGTAGAAAGCGGGTAGGAAGAAGACTTCCAGGTGCTTTTGCATCTGTGTTAATACAGATTTTGTCTTCTAGCAGCATGTATCTCATCACCCACCAGACAGTTGCTGGGAGGCTTCAGTGTCAGGGTGTAAAAAAGATAATTGTGTTATAAAATAACCAAGAAAAAGAGGATTAAAAAGACATTCAATGAATGGATAGCTTAAACATTATGTTCTGGTTTAATGTTTGATGTGCTGCATTGACAGCTTGAGAGGTTTTAGTAGGAACATAACTTTTATTTTCTCTCCTCTCTTTTATTTTCTCTTCCTCTTTACTTCTTAGCAGCGGTACTAAATCTGTGTGATCTTAATGCTCTTTCACAACCCCTAATCACTTATGTCAGCACTAATATTGCAGCCTGTGGAGAAAACAGCAATGCCCTCCTGCTTACTTGTTGTAACACCTGAACCAGTTTCTTTTGAGTTGCCATTTAAAAGCAAAAGCAAATCCTCGGTCCAGACTCCAGTGTTAGTGTTTTGAGGTTAGGTAAAGCACATACAATTTGTATGGCGCCTTAATATACTTTGACTGTGTTTGAGTTATTTAAAAGATGAATGTCAGTGAACGGTTTGGTAGGTCCCTAGTTTGGTTTTGAGGGTTTGCTGTGATCTGAGCAGTGCTATTAAATGTAATGAAACCCCGTGCAGGATGTTGCCCTTAGTGAGGCTTCTGTGGAACATGATTAATTTATATATATCCTTTTATTCCGCCCCCCTGCAGTTCGAGAGATGATCCTGCATCCATATGAGACACAGTCGGACAGTTTCTACTTTGTAGACAACAAGCTTGTGATGCACAACAAGGCAGATTATTCATACAGTGGAGGACCTTGAGCACAGGACGGGCAGCCAACCCACGCTGGCCTTCCCCTTCCTATCGAAGCCGTCAGGGATAGCAACACCTCCAGTTCCGTTGCCTACAACGTCAGCTGGACAAGGATCCACAACCCAAGGACTCTTTGCCACAGTAGGAGTTTCATGACTAAATTTGCCAGTCTCATCGTTTTTGAGCTTTGAAGCAGACCCAGTTCTTCAGAACTTTAAGCGGTTCTAAATGGTCGTTGGATACCACTTCCCTAAGTTCTTTCAGTGTCTGCTCTGCAAATGGCCTTGTGGGACCTGAGGGATTTTGCCCTAATTCTTTGGATTTGTGTTCTTGCCCTCAAATATCTGTTAGGACGTGGTTGCTTTCATAAAGAATGTGATCTGAGAAACCACCTGAGTGGATGGATGCAAATGCAGAGTCCTGTTGATTTCTCTTGTACACCCCATTGAAAATGTCAAGTGTAACATCTTATAAAAGCAAGTTTCACCTTTAGATTAGTTCTCAAAAACTGGTATTTCATCCTTTAGTTTTGGTCCTTCTAGTAATATTCTGTTTAATGGCGGAGACACTGAAACTCCCAGTGAAGACTGATAGTTCAGTGATAGGGCTGTTTTAAACCAGGTACTGTCCTTTTACATTTCAGATGAAGGCAAAAATAGCCTTGAGGGTTTTTAACTTCCATAAGCATTTTCCACTAATTTCAGTTTTTGCAAACTGATTGCAGAATAATCAGGAAAATTGGAAGGATTTTAGCTTTATTTAACATTTTTACATAGCTAACATGCAGCCTATTTGTGCTATGTGTTTTCCACGTCTATTTTCTTTCATCTCTGCTCAATACTAAGATAAGGGCTTCAGCACTGCTTGTTAGAGCAATGCTTTCATTTGTCTAGGGCAGTTGGAGAGTGCTGGAATTTCCAGTTTTCCATTTGTATCTGAATTTGAAGAATGTTATGAGAGTGTTTTCCCTTTGTTAAAAATGTTTTGCATTGGGTATTAATACAGGTGAAACAGTAAGTCTAATAATGTCAGACTTACTGTCTTAACATTAAGTCTAGTGTAACAGTAAGCTTATAATGTAGGACTTTATGCACAGCAAAAATTGAGCAAGAGCTCTCTTTTCAAACCCTAAGAAGTTCAAGACCATTTTTTCCCAAGTTTCTCAGCATGTGCTTCTTAGAAATGCAAAGAAGTAGCAGTATCAAAGGAGTAAATTAGTGTATGCAAAGCAAAAGCTGAGAAGGCTGTGGGGGATAGTCTGCTGTCATGAAACCCTTACTCTAAAGTTCAGTTCACTGATAACTTTAAACCAATAAAAGGCAGTTGCAGTTTGTAGATATTTCTATAAATACTTGATGTCTCCATGTCTAATTCTGTGAGTTGAAGTGGAACATTCTATGTTAGCCTCAGATAGGTGTGATTGTAATGATTTTTATAAAATATCATTTCCAGTCGTGATGAAACATCTTTCTAGGCACAGCTGAGTGGAACTGCAAATGGTTCCAGCTGTGGCTGTCTGCCTAAGAGCAGGGAGGGTTTCGTGCTCTATCTGGGCTTGTGGTCACTATTAAATGTGTTACCATTTGTATTTGGCTTGGCTTTACTTCTGAGAGAAGATTCAGTTTTCTAAAGGAAAAGCAGTGAGTTTAGGGTACAGCACAGGTTTTTTTTTAAGAATCATAGCTAAGAAAGTACATAAAGTTCACTAATTTTACACAACTAGTATCTTGTAATTAGCACAGCAAGACTTGTATTTTTCACTAGTTTTTATTTCTAGTGTGTTAAATCATGCATTAGCCTACAGCTTACCTGAGAGTAAAAGAATTTTCTTGTTATTTGTATGATGCTTTGAACTCCTGATCAGTAAGTTTTATAGCACAATAATTACTAAAGGTGAGAATAGCTTGCAAAAGTCTAGGTCTTTCCCCCAGCCTGCTGTTTTTTTTTGCATCAGGGCTGTCGAACTATCTATGTATTTAATGACATTCTGCAAGTTTAAGTATTTATGAATCTTGTTCCAACTCTTGAAGGAGAAAAGACAGCGATTTGAAGACAAGGCAGCTCGTGTGTTTACAGCTAGCACCCCGTACAAGTTTTTTTGGGGTATCTTTCAACTCTCACCTGCTGTTTGTCAGAATCATTTCTGTGCATAAGATTTTCAAAGCTGTCTAGCAATGGTGCTTGCCCTGGCTTGCCAGTCATACGTTTGTTTTTTCAAATGTATCGATGTTTTAAACAGAAATATAAATCTTGGTATATTTGTGGTGAGAGCAGTTGTACTTTGGTGCAGATTCTTGGGTTATTGTACTGAGTATCCTCTCTGTACAGCTGATCTGAGAGAGTCATCTTCTTTTTTATGCTACCTCCTTTTAAGACTTTGGACTTCGAGACCAAAAGTAATTTCATGAAAGTATTACTGTGATCAACAGAAACCTGAGTGGTAGATGTGCCCCTTTAAAAATGAACCTAGAGTAAGTTACCGTGTTCCCAATAGCGCAGTATGCTGCTGAATGGACTTCTTGACACTCTGCATTTTGTGGTAGGTTTGAGGTTAAGAGGTTTAACTACGTGCTGCTGCTCTCCTGGATTCTGCTGTTCTGATAATTCAGGTTCCATAGGTAATAATTTCAGGCCAACAGAGAATTCAGTGTGAATCAGATAGATAGGAAATATTTTATTGAGTGAGTTTGTTGTCTTCTATTACTAGGAATACTCTAAACCGGGAACAAATAAATTTCTACCTATTTTAGCTTTAGCTTTTCAGTTTGAAGAATTTTACTTTGTTTTAAAAAGTCCCTACAGTTCACTGCAAATAACAGGTCCAGGTTCTTAAACCACAGCAAATGACAAAACTTTCTGTGGGGAACGTAATGAAGGTGCTTTTTAACTTATTCTACTGCAACAGTTGCCACTGTTATTCTCTCTGTTTCACACAGAAACACTTTGTTAGCATCTTTTTAAGGTCACCTACACCCATGTTTACAAACGTGGGAATCACTGTCCCAGGGAAAGGTGCCATTCCTTTCTCCTTGCTTATGCAGCAGTATGTGTAGGGTTGACAAGAGCCATTGTATTGTGTACATAAACAGCACTAGAAGAAGAGTGTTTCTTCAAAGACTTGTGCAGTGCAGTTGCTGTTTTAATGCCACTTCTGTCCTTGTTTTGCATTGAAACTATATGCAATATTTAATGTTAAAGGCCACGATTTGTACAGCACTGAACAGCAACTTCCATCTGAAACGGAGCTGAGAGCTCTCAGGTCAGCTGCAGAATGAAACCCACAATTTTTTTTTCCCCCTTGAATTGGCAGCTGATCTTTATTATAAACCGGTTGAAAATCAAATTTTAACAGGATTGTTCACAGGAGAATTTGTTAATCTCCTGGACTAGTTATTGCTTTGTATTTTAATATGAATCATTACTGGGTTTACTTTGGAAGTTCATCTCCAAAATCACCATATATTGGCTCTGGAAAGAGAATTCTTTGTATTTAAAAAAATATTTTAATTAGCACCACGGCTCTGTTTTAACAAAGCAGTCAGGAAATTCAGGATCTGCCTTTCTGAAAGTGAAAGAAAACATCTTAAGAGCTAACCAAGATTATCTGCTAATAATGACTTGCTGTTTCCTGTCATAAGACAGGATTAGACGTGTACTTTATGAGTCAATCTTGGAAAAAGAAACTAAGTCTCTGTGAGTGCTAACAGTGACATAATTTTTCTGAGACAAGGAAATTATAACTCAACACATTCTTCTGCTTTCTCAGTTTTGGGTTCCTGTGAACTTCAGGGGTTTTAAAGAAAAGCACCAGTAATACACTTGTGGTTAGCTGCCATGCTCATAGTCTGTCTCTATGTCTTCTTTTAGAGCAGAGTAGCGTGGCTGTGTGTGAAATACTGCAGGCTACCAAGTTCCAAATGCCTTCATTTTGAGCAAACAGTCTATTAGAGTTTATTGAGAAATAGTGCTACATGTTGAGCCCTAAAAACTAAATTCCAATCTTCATGACAAAAATTAAAGGTAACTCTTATTCATGCAAAGATGATTTGTGGCCTAATTAAGGTAAGAAAAGGCTGATACCCAACTTGTGTACTTAGTATTATAAAACTGTTCTGTTCATTATTCATAACTTGAAAAAATATGGTTAACAGCTCTATTTTAATTAGATCTGGCTAGAAATTAAACTATAGATTATTGCTTATTACAAGGGCAAGAAAAGAATTTCATCTAAATGGAACCACAAGCTTTAAGGTCATGGTGAATGTGTAATGCTTTTTCTCTTGAGTTTGAGATATCTGGTAATGCCCATTAGCAGTTCTTTTCCATACCCCCCCCCCCATAAGCACTAAGTTTATACAAATGTTTTAATATTAATCAGATATTAAATCTCACTGACAGCTCGTATAATTTTCTAAAGGTGGAGAGTGTGGTACTCTAGGCCTCAAGCTGTAGCTTGGTTGTTTTCTAAATCATAGCCTGACTAAGCAGGTGAAATTGTGTGTTTTTGTATCTGTTCACAAGCTGTAGTTAACTGCCTCCCTAGAATCACTGTGTTAATGCCTGCTGTGATGTCTGCTTGTGTCTTAATGCTACACTGAGAAAACCTGTTTGAATGTGACATTGACTTTTTTTGCATAGAATCAGAGGTGTCTGCATTAAAATGTATTTATAAAAAATATATTTTTTGTGGAAGGAAAGTAGGATTCTAGTTAATATACCACTGGGGAAAAAATATTAGGAACATTTTTATCCAGTTCATTTATAATTCTTTGTATCTTGTTAGTTACCTGATTTGTTTCCTATAAGAACATCCACTGTGGCCCATTTCGAGGCAATGCAATGCACTGTTATGCAGAGAATCTGGTTTTCAGAAAACTGGGAGTCTTTTGTTTCCTTTTGGGACAGTAGGAAACTGAGTAGGTTGCCAGGAGAGAACCTTGGCACCGAACCCACTTCTGTGGCTTTGGCTTCAGTAACTAGTCTGCCTGACTTGTTTGCAGCTAGATAAGTAACGAGAGCCAATATTGAGACTTCAGGATAAAGAAAATTAGATGCTACAATTTAGTCTTCCTGTAGGAGAAGGGGAGTACTGAAATGAATTTATACAAGGATAAAATAGGGAGTACACTTGCCTAAAATGATTTAATATTAGTCATCAATGTGCATCCTAGGGAATCTGCTTAACTTTTTCCATTACCTTGGAAAACGGTTACAAACCATGTCACTTTCATCAGCAAGTGTTTCCTCTCCTGTAACAAACTGCAAAATGTAAGAAAGCTCAATAAATGATTGATCCTAGACATGAGGGTGGCTGTCTATTTCATTTAAATATATTAGCACATGAAAAAACCTCCAATTTCCATTTCAGATGTCTTCGATCCGTAACAGAACTCCAGTTTTGTGCAAATGGATGTAACCAGCTTCACTTTCTGGTGGTTATAAACTGAGCAACGCACATGCGAAAACTCTGCAGTGGTTTGTGTAGTTACAAGAGTAAAACAATTACAGGAAAAGGGTTTAAATGGGATTCAGCTTTCTAATATACAGAAATATCTTGGGGCATAAATAACTAAATGATTTTCAAAGTACATGAACAGAACTTTGGAGTTCACAGATGAGTTGTGCACCAGGTTGTGCTTTTTTTGGTTCCGCAGACTTACAGGGGATGCCTTAATAACACTGTATCAGCAGAACAATTCCTGTACAGGAACTTGGGGGAGAACAATATTAATACAAGGCTTTAATTTCTGGATTATTACTTGGAGCTGCATGAAATACCTGCTCCGCGTCCTGCAATAAGGTGGTGACCTTGAGTGCAGGTTGCTAACATGCCTGGTTTTCAGGTATCACTCATCTGAAATCTGGGATGAAGATATCAGTTCTCTTACTCAGGCTCTTGTAAAGCAGAGGATAGTTTCTGGTTTTGCCTGTACAGGTTCTCTGTGGTTAGATGCTCTCTTCTGATTAAACTTAACTTTCGGAATTACCTGAATAACTGGAAGCATCAGGTCTATTTTCTGAGACTTCTTGAAAGGACTGGATACTGATTTCACTGAACACCTAAAGAGATGAGATAGCAAAATCAGTCCTAATAACTCCAATAAGCAGGCTAAAACCTCTCTTTGATGCTCGAGTCTCCTTGAAAAACTTTTGGGGTTCAAGAGAACCTTTAAAAAGTAAATCCAAATTTTATTCAAAAGAAAATTTCCAGTGTTCAATGTCTGCCAAAAATATACTTAGTTGGTATGTCAGTGTCATTTATTAATAAATATGCCTAATCATCCTGGAGATGTTCTGTGCCTCTCCTCTGATTCTGATTTCTTATGGTACTTATCAGCTGCTTAGCTACTGTGGAAAATCTGACGTGTTCACACCATGCTTCTAATTCTTCTGTCATTGTCCAAGGGCATTCATCTATCTGCGACTTGCATTCCCTTAACATTTCTTAACTGTAGTAGGAACATTTCCCAGTGATATAGTACTCCAAGTTTCCCAATGTAAACCTGTAAGACAACATATCTTATTTTTAAAGGAAGCTTTAGAGATTAAAGAAGTCTGCCATTGCATGCTAGGGTAAAACAAAGGTATTTATTCAACCTATTTAAGCCCACAAAAAGGGGTGATTACTTCACAGAGATAACTTTTTATCCTTAACCAGTGCTGTACAAGAACTTAAAATAGGAGGTGAAATCATGCTGGGTAATGTATTTTAATTAAAACTACAAAGAGAATTTAGGTAGGTAGAGCATAATTGCAGCTGGATGATTCCCAGCCATTATTTTGGAAACTGACAGGGGACCTTCAATAACAAAGGCCTGTTTTATTTAAAAATAATCAAATTATTTTAGGAGAGGGTGTAAAGCATGTTAATGAAGCTTGCACATGAAAGAGATTTGTAGCAAGGAATAAAAACAGGCAGGGAAGTTACAAACAGCAATATAGCGAACACATAATGAAATTTACTTTAGGAAAGGAAGTTAATACATGAGGGAGAGATGAGTTCCAAATGCTTTCGGTTCTTCCTTTGCTGCTGAATGACAGAATGAATCAGAATAGCAGACTGGGTATTTTATAATCTTTATAGTTTAGCTGTAGAGTAAGAAATCATTCCAGATAATGATTTATTGGAATATGCTGCGTTTACTGTATTTCCTTGGGGAGTTAGGCATGCAGTTGTACTTGCGTGCAATAGCAACGCTTGGCCAAAGGGAAACTGGCAGTAATAGGTAAAACCTTCAGTAAAATATCATAAACCCTTCAGTAAAATATCAAGCTGTCACGTTTATGTGTCACTTGCTAGCCCTGTGCATGGTGTAAAGTGTATTCCCTCAGGCATGCAGCCAAGCAAAGGAAGAGGGGTACAAAGCATCCTTTGAGTGTGTGCACGCAGACCCAGTTTTGGCTATGAAAGGTGCTACATGCACCAGACCTGAAAGCTAGAAATACCCAGGACCTATTTGAGTTAGAAACCCCCCCAAAACTCAACCCCAAAACACTTCCTTCATGAATGATGCTGTGAAAGGCATGGTTTTGATTTCCCAAACGCATACTTTAACACCCTTACACATAACTGTCTAATTAAAAGCTGGCTGCTTTGCTGGCTGCAGTTTCACAATGCAGGAGAACGCAGGGTACAGGGTGTCCCCTGAAATTAAAGCGTGCAGGGAGACGTGATTATACATTCAGAGGAAATAAAACTTTCTGCCCCAGACAGACCAAGCCTCTTTAGCACCAGGACAACACACACCTTTTAAAGTCATTCCCTGCCTGGAGCTAATCAGCTGGCATTTGGCAGTAACTTGAATTTGACTTAACAGTCCAAAGTTGTTCTTTGCAGTGACAAATACACACACATGCTTCCTGCAGCTCCCTGGCAAGGAAGCACAAACCCAAGTGTCATCACTGAGATAATTTTTAAAGGCTATTATCTCAGCTAATGTTTGAATTTCTCTATGAGAAGCTAAAATGAGGATAAACAGGGCAAGTTCAGGTTGGATATAAGGGAGGCTGAGATGAGCTCTTAGGCAGAAGCTCTTCCCTGTGAGGGTGCTGAGGCGCTGGCACAGGGTGCCCAGAGAAGCTGTGGCTGCCCCATCCCTGGCAGTGTTCAAGGCCAGGTTGGACACAGGGGCTTGGAGCAAGCTGCTCTAGTGGGAGGTGTCCCTGCCCGTGGCAGGGGTTGGAGCTGGAGGAGCTTTAAGGTCCCTTCAACCCAACCCATCCCATGATTCTATAATTTCCATAGCTAAAAGCAGAGCACTTTATCTTATTAGATTAACCGGATAGTTGGTAAAATATTTTTTTCCCATTTTGGGTTTGGTTGGTTTTATTTGTGATGTTCTAAAGTCACGGAGTTAAAGGTAAGCGTAATAAATGCCTCCAGTAATCATCTAAGCCCAGTGCCTCAGACGGGCACGAACACGCTGGGCTTATTCATGTTGAAATTAAATCCTTCGGTGAGAGCTGGAATTCTTTGTTCACCCAAATCATGTGAATTCCCTTCTTTAGTTTGTGTTTTTTTTGTTACTGGCATGTTTCTACCTCAGAGCTCAGCCACTCTTCCAACAGCACAGGTCTGCTCAGCCGCCTCCATGGAGGGTTACGGAGAAAGAAGCCTGTAGGAAACGCAGAGCCACACCTGCCTTGGGTTGAGTTTATTGCTCATTCCCTTTCACCTCCACCTCCCAGCGCACCAAACGCGCCTTCCCCGGCGCCATGAGGCGAGGCGAGGCACGGCCCTTCCCTCCCTCAGCTGTGAGGCAGCGGGAAACGCCCAACGGCTCTTCCCGCCCTCCCGTTCAAATCCCACTCAGCAGCCAATCAGCGGGCGCGCTGGGCTCCCTTCGCCAACGGTCGGCGCTGCCGCTCTGAGGTGGCTGCTGTTTTCGGGGCTCCGTAGCCCTTTCGCCGGGCTGGTCGCCCTCCTTTCCTCGCTAAAGGCGGTGGGATACGGTGGAACGGCGGCTTGGCAGCTCCCTGAGGGCTGTGGGAAGGTGGTGCTGGAGAGGTGCGTCTCGGGAAATCACCTCCGCACTGCTTAAGAGGCTGCCCCCGCCCCTGCTCATCTGACGTGATTGATTTCCCAGTGACGATGGTGTGAATAAGGAATTTGGGTAATCTGTCTAATGTGATGGTGTTGGTTGTGCAGTTGGGCCTTGTAGGTCTTGTCAGGAATAATGTTTAGGGGTTATATTTGTCTCTTCTGTGTCCAGGTTAAAAATTAATAGATTCATAGAATCATAGAATAGTGAGGGTTGGAAAGGACCTTAAGATCATCCAGTTCCAACCCCCCTGCCATGGGCAGGGACACCTCACACTAAACCATCTCACCCAAGACTTCATCCAGCCTGGCCTTGAACACTGCCAGGGATGGAGCATTCACAGCCTCCCTCGGCAGCCCATTAGAGTGCCTCACCACCCTCACAGGAAAGAATTTCCCCCTTATATCCAATCTAAACTTCCCTTGCTTAAGTTTTAACCCGTTACCCCTTGTCCTATCACTACAGTCTCTTAATGAAGAGTCCCTCCCCAGCATCCTTATAGGCCCCCTTCCTACTCGGAATAGGAAGCCTTCAGTTCTTCAATACAACGACGTGTTTTGGTGCTTTGTTATTCACTGGGTGAATTATGGAGGTTTAATAGCAACCTGCTCTAGTGAAAGGTGTCCCTGCCCCTGGCAGGGGTTGGAACTGGATGAGCTTTAAGGTCCCTTCGACCTGAACCAGTCTGGGATTCTATGATTCAGCTGCAGTTTGCTTATTGGCATTTATTGGCCCTGAGGTCTGCCACATGCTTTCTGTGCATAAAATTGGTTTCCCATGAAGTTGGTGCGAGCTCAGTAGTTCTTAGAAACTAATTCCAGTGTTTGTTGGCATCTCATGGGCCTTGATTAAGAGAGGTTCATCCCAGAAAAGGCTGCTGGGTTGTCCAGTTTCCTGCTTGTCTCTGAGCCCTTTGCTGTATGGAGCCCAAACTGAGAAATCTGTGCTAGGAAGACACCCAGACTTCATGTGGAGGTAGCAAAAGACTAAAACATTGTTATTATAGAAGGCTGAAGAGCACGGACTGCTGGTTTCCCACTGCCTCCCACTGGTGAGGGCTCTTGGCTGGTGGTGGCTTCATATTGGTGCCTGGTTGCTGAGATCTGTCAGTTTATCCTCCAGTCAGTGTTTGTTATATTGGTATTTGATAGCTGAGATTTTTCATCAATGGGAAGCACCCAGGGGAAACAAATCCAATGTGCGTAAACGGTGTTCCCGCTGCTGTTTATTTTCAGGATGTCAGTGTTTTCAGTGCAAACAAGTTTTGTTTCTTTGCCTGGATAAAAATAACTAAAAATGCCATTTCTGCTTCTAAAAGGACTGGATTTAAATTTTATTTAAATTATATTTATATTTAATTTTATTGACTTATTTAATTATTTTAGTGAAGAGCAAATCAGTCCTCAGTTCAATCTTTGCTGTGGCCACAAGTGGGAAGTGCTGCCATAAAGCTTCCATTTCCATTATGGTAGTGAGGGGCTGCATGGCTCTGCTTCAGCTCCTGGATGGTTTGGTTTTGTTTGTGTTGGACCAGAAATGGATTAAGGGGTTAGAAAAAGCTTGTGGGGAAGTATTTACTGTTTTTAACACTTAGTAGCCTAAACACAAACATACACACATGTATCTGGAAGCCTGAAATATACAAAAAGAGCATCAGCACCGGTAAGTCCTGGAATGCAAATACTTAATTCAGCCAGTAGTTTAAATTTACTTGGAAGTGCCAATAGGTCAGTTTCACTTTTATTTTCAAGCTTTGTGTACAAAGCTAGAGATACAAAGTAACACTGACTACTTGTATCTGTTCCATAATACCTATTAATCACTGTCTGGTTTAAGCAGCTCAGTGCTGAGCCAGGGTTTTGAAAGATGGTGCAAAGATATGAATGTATCTGACAAGAGCTGTATCAACAGAAGCAAATGCATCTTCAGAGGTGATGGTTTTATATCAAGAGCAGGAAAACGTGTGGGAGGCAGCCTGCTTTAGGCAGGAGTCTTGTAACAGTAAATTTGGGAACATTAAGTAGATTTAGGTATGTCAAGCAAAAAGGGCTTGAAAACATAGTTCCAATAGAAATTGCTATTACTTGAATTTTCTGAAGTCACTATACAATATTTTCTGAAACATACAATAAAAGAATGCATGTTAAACTATTGAATCCTAATCTTTAGAATGTAATTTTTTCCTAATCGTATGTTGAGGGGGGCAACAGTGAACACTTTCTTCTGCTTAGTGATGAGAGATTTTTATGGTAATTATATTTCAGATTTTGGTGTTTATTTTTTTTTTACTCCTGACAGAAATAGCTGTTTGCATAATGTGTTTGGTTTAGGCTGATGAAGCAAACATCATTGGCCTTAGAAAGCTTCATTCCTTTCCTTCTTCCTTCCCCTGTTTTCAGTGTCTTACTTAAAATGGTCTTTAATGCAAATGTATCTGCAATAGATTTGCAATGTGTGCAAAAGACTTATTTTACTGGAGGTAGGAAGTGAGGTGTCAGCAGCTCTTAAAGTTCTAGGAAAATGTTTGCTGTGCTATCAGGGGCTGTAAAAACTGATATTAAAAGTACGGGATAAGAATTGCACAAGATAAGGATTGCACAAGATAAGGATCTTTCTTCTATATAAACTTCAAGTAGTTAAATATTTTTTTACCTTCTTTAAAAAATAATTGTTCCAGAACTATAATTTACAGTATGACTCTTTCCTCATGCACCCATATTTCAATTTCCATGTGTACCAGAATTGCTAATGCTAAACTGAAGCAAGACCAGAAAATTCTAGATGGAAGAGCCTGAAGGGAAACCCAGAGGGTTTATATTAGTTAACTTGCAGTCTTTGTTTTTAACATGACTCTTTTTTAATATAAGTCATTACATGATTTTCCTTAGAACTGTGAAATGTCCAACCATATTAAAATGGAATTCACTGGAGAAAATAAGGTGCTTAGAATAAATAATTTTATATAAGGATGACAAACTTTTCTTATGTAGATACAGTATGTCAAAGAAAATCAAGCAAAACAAAAGAAAAAAGCTTTTAAAGTGTTTTTTTTCCCCCTTTTGTTCTTTGTCTGCTCAATCTTCAAAGCTTATTACTAAGAAAAATACGGAATACAGCATGACATGTAGATTTCTTCCTCTGTTTGTTTCTCCACCTTGTGATCATGTGCATGGTCACAAGCATGGAATGTTTTGGTGCATCTGAGAGAATGCCCTCCACCTGTTCAGCATAGATCGTGTAGTATCTGAATGATACATATGAATTTACAAATGAGTGAATTGCTGTACCCATAAACTAGAAATCTTTAACACAGAAAAAGAAGCATAGATTTTCTTGTTTTAAAAATCTGTATTTCCTTAGCAAATACCTTGCTCATCCTGGTAAAGTGTTGTCCAGAATCACAGTTGATTTGTGCTGTGGATTTGCTTTAATTACAAATATGTTATTACAATTTTATTATGTTTCTGGAGTGATGGACCTTCCTGATAGACTTCACCTGCCATGTTCTCATGTATTGTCTTGTCATTGTTCCCCTCTGCCAAACGCAAAGTATTAGGAAGATGGTTAACTCTGTAGGGTAATGCTTTGCAAGGGTCTGTGATATTCTGTGTAGTGGCCATAGTGTGTTCACTGCATGGTGCTACTCAGTGTGTGTCATCCAAAGGGTTTTAAAAAGGGCTAATGAGAATTTGATGCAAACAGTGACTGAAAATAATTAAGAACTCATTATCTCCCTTAGGCCTCTGGAAATACTGATTTCTGTAGCAATGCTTCGCTGTTTCCAGTTAAGGACTTCTAAATAGACAATTATCCTGAAAAGTCCTTGGGGATACAGGCAGCTGTATGCAGAGTCCACTGGTGTCGGTGGTCACTGGAATTAAATGTATCTGAGGAATTTGCGAGGGTTTGGACAGATGGTCCTACCCCAGTGGTGGGAGTGCTGGCACAGTGGTGGAGTCCTCTGTTGAAGTCAGAGAGAGTGTACACACAGAGCTCTGGAAACCAATCTCATAGCACAGGTCAGATCTGTTGTAAACAGTCTGCTATTTATAGATAACATTATTTACCAAATACTATTTTTGGCTTAAGAGTGATTTTGACATATTTTAAGAAATGATAGTAGCTCTCTGTCACAGGGCAGGGGGTCGGTTTGGTTTTGCTTTCCCTCAATGCATGGTTACATTAGGGCATATATATATATATTTGATTCTTTTTCCAAAAAAGGTATTTAGCATAATATTATTGCTCTTAAAAGTTTGTGCTTGGTAGTTACTTATCTGTAACATGGTAACTCAAATTATTCTGAATATGTTGTTTAGCAGCTTTATACTTACTAAGGCTTATCATTTAATATGTACATTTCTAGTGATGTGGCATATTAAATTGTTTCCTTATTCCTTATCTAAATGTAAGGATGGTCAAGAATTGATTTACCCAGCTCTAGTATGTTTGCAGAACTCTGTTCCTGCTGGGTGTTGTTTTTTTTTTTGCTTAAGCCACAACAAGCAGCTTGGCAAACTGAATGCATGTCTCACACTGTTTGCAGGAGATGCAGAGGAAGAAGGGCTCAAGTCAAGTGAGGGTTTCTTGGTAGCTGCATCAGGGATTATGAACTTGCATCATGTGTTCTTCCTAAATCTTCTCTATCCATCTGCCCCTAATCTGATTTTGGTTTAAGTCTAGGCTAGTAGGCATGGTTGAGGCTGTTGATTTCATCCTGGGTTTGGCTTCAGCCTTAACTGGCAGCACCTTATGGTGGTACCTTGCTGTGGGAAAGTGGCTATTAAACCCACATGCATTTATTTTGACAGTACTGTCCCACTGCTCTACCTGCTCTGTACTTTGCAATTCATTGTTGCTTTTTCACAGTGTGACCTGATCTGATGTAAATTTTAACCTCCTTAGTTTCTTCCAAGTTTCTGTAATATGTGAACAGAGATGTCACTTCAAGACACTTGGTTTTTTTTTTTGTTATTTTTAGGCTCTTTTCCTTAGCACTGTTAAGGGTTCCTGCTCAAGATTGCTTTGGGTTTAGATTGCTTCACTTGAAATAAAGCGCTGCTCTGTCATGTCATGAGCAGCACCTCTATGGTAAATCAGAGAGAGAAATGTGTTCCTGAGAAACTGGCTACTGAGATGCCTTAGTTTAGTTCATGGTAGGAACCAGACACTATTCTAGTGCAGGAGTTAATTCAGCATTGTAATAAAACCTGTTGGATGCATCAGATGGCAGCTGGTTGTTAAAACAGGTGCTGTTTGGATTTGGCTAACCACAACTATTGTTGTTCTCTTTATTAGCATTTTTAAAAATCTTGATTTAGTGGTTGAATAACTCATCTTACTGTTCATTTATCTGAATAAAAATAGAGGAATGAATGTGAATAATTTTCAGCCAAGTAAAAATTCTACTAAATTTTGTTCTTTTTTATTAAAAAAGCAAAGTTTTAAATTTCTTTTTAAACACAGTAAAACTTAGATTTTTTGCTAAATTCTATCTGTTGCTTTGGTTTAGTCTGGCAGCAGCTAGTCCTCTATCTTCTAATACTTGCAGAGTTTTCAGTTTATGTTCTTGTTTACCAACCCCCAGAACTTCTTTCAAGGGGACTATAAATGTTTTAATATGCAGATTGGTTTTGAGTTGTGTGCGGAAGATGTTGTTGCCATCACTGGCTCCAAGAAATAAGTTACATTATTGTAAGCTCTGGCTTCTGTGTTCATTTGCAAGCAGCTTTCATTTTGAAAAAGAAAAGAAAAATGTCAATAATTTGTTTTCCTCTTATAGTCATTTGTTCCTGGAAGATAGAGAAGATGAGTGGCTTGATAAAATGGTGTTGACCAGTTCAGCCGTTAACAATATTATCTTTAAATAGTCTTTTAAACTTTCTTAGTATCTGTCTGTAGAAAATTGTCATAGTAAAGCTACATATCCTGCGGGTGAGTTCTGGAAAAAGAGTATTCTTATTCCAATGGACACAGTTTCAGCTGGTCAGTGTGTGGGATGGTTAGGACTGTATTCAGACCAAGTAATAATAACTAGGTTGGTGCGTGGTTCACATTAGTGCTATAGGTTTGGATCCAGTATTACTTAGGTAGGCAGGAGACACTGTATCCAGTTCCATAAAGGCAGAGTAAAGAGTAGTGAGCTGTAGGTCAGGCACATTGCTGTGTGGGGTTCCATTCTGGGTGTTGATGCTATTGCTGCTGGTGTTCTCCATCTGGCAGTGAGAAGGGAAACATTGGGAAGACACTGGGGATGATGAAATGAGAACTAGGGGATCCACAGCTAAGCTGTCATCTTTCAGCTCCTCCCAAAGGTTTCCTATAACAAAACAAAAGGGATTGAGTCAACTTTCTTCATATATGCTTTTTGAACATTGTTTTACAGTTAGTATGCTGTGTGTGTAGGTGTTCTTAATCACCTGTGATTGAGAAAGGAAAAAGATTGATTAGATTATTCACTAGTTATTAGTTGTCTGTCACCTTAAATTTAAATCTGAGAAAGCAGCATTAGTTTAAGAAAATTATTTCACTTGATAATTAAGATTCTGTTGCAAATGTGTACTTAGGTAGCATAACTTCTATTTGAAACTCTCTCCCATCACTAATTTTGAAAAAGGAAATTGCCTCTGTTATCTTTGTAAGTTATGGAAGAGCTATTGGCACTTTGTGGGACAAATCTGCAAATAATACTACTTTATGACTGGCCTTCTTGTATTCTTATGGTTCTCTGAATAGTGAACTAAGTCACTGGGTATCTGATTGACCTGACAAATCAAAAGATCTGAAATGGGACTTTTTCCTAATGTTTACCAAAACAGTTCTCATCTTTCTGCTGATATTTCTGTGCATATCACAGCGAAAGCCTGACATAAGTTTCTACAGGAGGGCTATATTTTTCATAGTCATCATTGAAGATTTCCTTGTGGGGACTGTATCAGGGAAAACTTGTTCAAAAGCTATGCCCACCGCCTGCAGACTGTCAAATGGGGTCATATTTAGCCATTTGCTAGAATAATGCTGATTTTTAAAAGAACTATTTTTAATGTGTGGATGCATAATGATTTTGCTGCAGCTGTGCAGGCCTTGCCTTAAATTCTAATTTAAGTGTTGATAATTTTGATGGAATTGTACCAGATTGGTGAAGCATTCAGAATATTCACCATATAAATGAGCATGTTCCAGAATGAAGTGGGAAGAGGATCAGAGAAATGTGTGGAATGCCTGAAAGAGGAAGAAGCTGAGGATTCAAAAAACTGTTGTTAATCTTAGTAAGTGATCTGGGCATGACAGGATTGTGGAATAGTTGTGACAGCACAATGGCACTTGCTGGGTCATATAGATTATGGAGGTTTCTTTTGCTCTGTTTTTTAGGTTGCTTTTGTACCATGTTTTGCCTGTGGAGGAAGGCAGTTTTTGCATGTTATGTGGTACAGCAAGAGCTTTATCATTTGGAACCTGCAGGTTTTATTTATATATAAACACATATATAAATACATATATATGTATACATGTACACACACATGGTGGGTTAGGTTTTTTCCCTTATTTTTAATGGAAAGCTATGTTTTTAATGTTCAAAATCCTGTCCATTCAAGGTGACTCAATTATTTCACATTAAAAAACCCTTTACTTGTCAGCATTGCATGACTAAGTATTTAAGAACACACCTTGGAAAATATAATTGTCCAGGGCATAGATCATGCCCTGAATGAATGTCTTGTGAAGGAGTAAACAGCACTCCTTTGAGTAGAGTTGTGGAAGGAGTTTGAATATTGATAAAGAAATATGTTGACATGTTAATTCAATCAAAATGACTTCTGCTTGTGCCTCTCACGTGAGAATTCTCTTGACGTGCACTAAATAATTTTGCTTGAGTAGTTTTAAGTGAGAAATTTAAAAAATACCTTCTAAGTACTGTATTGTACTATTCAATATCAGCAGTTGTAATCAAGAGTAAGCATTTGGGTTTTTCAAAACTCTGGATGTCAATCTGTTGTGCAAAATCATGTATCCTGGTAAGCAAGTCTTCGTAGCAGTGGCAAGGACAAGTAGTTAAGAAAGAAGGATATACATGCATCTGTTGCAGGTTGTGATGTGATGTAATGTAATAAGCCTGACTCTACAAAATAAAAATGCCTGAGATGCCTACCTTGGAGATCAAAATCAGTCAGGGATGGATTAAGAGCATCGATATCATTGCTGAGATCTCCTTCCTGCATGAGCGTGTCCTGCATTGTCCTGGCTGTAGAGTGCTCTGTCAGCATCTTCACTCCACAGCTGGGGGGGGTCTGAGCCGGCAGCGGTGAGTCCTGGGTGATGCTAGGCTGAGTTCTGAGTTCACTTTGAGCCTCCGCAGAAGGAAAAAGGGTCTGAGGGTCGGGTGACTGTTGCATTAATGTACTTGAGATTTGAGGAAAACCCTGTGTTGATGTATAGCACGCAGTTTGCTGCCCCCCAAGCAAATTTGGCAACGGGTTCTTGACATGTAGAGCTCCTGATGCGTGGATACTATGTAATGGCTGTGGTATACCGGAGGAAAGCGAGGGCTCGCATAAGGAATGGGATTGGACTGCCATCTGCCTGGAAAGGGATGCAGTTGCAACGCCAGTCGGACTGCCGGACATCATTGAAGATCTCAGCTTTTCGCTTTTGTCGCCTATCAGTGTGTCAAGTTCTTCTACAAAACAAGAAAAGAGCCCGTGATTAACTTACTCCTAACAAAGCCTCAGTCTTCACAGCTTGCAGCTGGAATTCTAGTGTTCTTTAGGAAATGGGAGAGTGGAATGGCAAATGAGTGCTAACCCATTTATGATCACTCTTAAGGTCTGAAATGCTTTTCTAAATTAGCATTGCCAAGTGAGTATATAGTAAATTGCATCTCTGTGTTTAAAGCCTGGATACTATCAGTTAATTTCAAATTTTATTATCTAGTACTTATTTCAGTGTTGGTTTTACTTTAAAATTTAATGAGATGTCAAGAGAAAATGTTCCCTTGGTGAGGCTTCTGTGTGCCTATTTGGAAGCATTCCTGCAAAACCAGGTCTTATCTAATTCTGCTTTTAATTTTAATTCTTTGTTTTGCCAATCAGTTTATAAACAGGGAAGTTCTTAAATGCTTTCCTAAATCCTGTCTAAATTCTCTTATAGAGCTTGATGTCTATTGCAAATAAAAGTTCTGGATTACACTGTTTAGGGACAAATACACTAATATATTACTGACCTGGCTTTGCCATACTCTTCCTTACAGCAACTGGGTCTTTCCTCTTCCATTTCTGAAGCTCCTCCTGCATCTTATCGATTTTGGCTGGATTCAGAGCCCACAAACAGCCTTTCCGAGAAGAATTGCCTGATTTGTTTTCAACTTTCTCAAAGCATTTGTTCAAAGATAAGTTGTGACGTACAGAATTCTTCCAGCCGTCCGGAGCTGTCTGGAAAAACAAATCCAGTCTAAGAATGGAACTTCAAGGAAAAAATACAAATATATTTCTCTATTTTGACTGGTTAGAGTATACTTTCTACAAAATGAAACTGGTACCATAGAAGGAAGCCACAAAAATGTTACAGTCGTGTTGTGTGGGAAGAGGAATCAGATAACATAGTAACTGATCTTCTAAGCAAAAGGTTGGCCTTGTCAGAGGGGCTACTGTATGTTTGAATTTGCAAATTACAAGAATTAAATGTGTTAAAGAATTATATTCCAGAACTGTGAACTAACAGGAAATCTTTTAATCCCTTTTAGCACACCTAGAAATATTTCAAACACTTAGTTGAAGGGCTACGTGCCACTTGGATTCAAATGAGTTGTCCAGGCAGACTTCAAAAGCATTTTGGCATGCTGCTGGAGGTGTAGCCAATTACATAACCACATGGTTTAAGCAAAAGCCCAGTGGATGAGATACAGGTTTGTACATCTGATTGCTGCATCTTTTTGCTTTGCATTTATTTTTAACTTGGTAGTAGAAGTTGGAAGGTCCTTTAGACTGAACAGTGCGTGTGAGCTTCATTAAAATGATTCCTCTGTTTTTAGTTAGGATGTTTCTGATTGATGAGGGAAACAAAATTCCCTCCTTTTTCTAAGGAAGGGGTTTGCATTCAACTGCAAGAATGGAAAGAAAAGAAAGCTTAGTGCAAACCCTCAGTTTATACAAATTAATCTTTACAATATTTCTGTTTTCCCTGATTGCTTGTAGAAGAACATTGATAATTAATATTGCTGTAGGGAATGAAGAGGGAAATACTCAGCAAAACAGTCATACTCGGATTCTGATGGGAAATGCTTGTTTGTTTGCTAGTCTGAAATGCTGATCTTGAAGAAACAGCACTGTATGCTTTTATTGCATTTCAGTTTTTCTGGTGTATGTTTATTTGATCTCACTCATTTCTGTTTCCTTAGTCATCCAGCCAGAAAATGCTGCCCATCACATTAAGGCTTTGTAAATTAGTACGCATATTCATATCAGAAGATTCCTACAGTAAATTCCTGATGTGTCACTTTCTTGCTTTTCATTTGGTAGGTTTTGTACGATGCTGTTTGTTGCATATCCGAGTAGAGCTCTTAGTTCATTGCCACTGCACTGTAAGCTCAAAAAAAAAGGGAGTGGGAAAAATGACTTGCTATGTAATGGTAGGAATCAACCTGAAAAACCCAGCTTCCTTGTAGTAGATGCAACTGCTTGTCCAGCTACACCTCCCCTGTCATTGTAGGACCAGTTAAAAGCCCAGAATTGTAGCTTTATCTGTGTCAGTCAAATGATTCTTTCCAAAGGGTTTGCATTTGCAGAGATGAGAAATCTCAAGAGCGACTTCAGAGCTCATCAGATTTCAAGGAGTCTAGAGTATGTGAAGCCTTTTTGTTTTGTTTTAATCAGTTTTGGATGCTTTTCCTTGTTTCCAGAAAATCCTCAGCTGTGTGTCATAAGAGCTAAAAAAAAAAATCAAACAGCTCTCTGAAAGGTGGGTGACATTGTTTGTGTGCCACTATTAATTCACATTCATGGATGTAAAATATTGGTTGTTGCAGTTGTTGACCAGAGAGCACAAGAAATAAAAATGATTTTCCGTAGTACTTTTAAAGAGGTTAAACATGAAAATTTCCCTTTTATGCATGTTAAGTTTCCTTTCCATTCTTAGGCCTTATTTATAGGGATCATTCACTTACAGAAAGCAGCTTTTGGATACTTTCTCTAAATGTTGCCTGGAGTAACAGATCTCTTCTAGACCATCTTTTATAAATGGACTTGTGTCCGTTCTTGCTTTCACATGCTACACTCTGCATTTTTGAACACGCTTTGACAGAAATACTGCTTTTATCAGGAATGCAAAATCTAGTGGGTTAAGGTGTTAAAAGCCTTACTGAAGAATTTCAGGGTCAAATTTAATACTTGCTCTCCTCATTAAATAAAGTTAATCAATAGTGGAAGTTAAATACATGTTGCTTACTAAAAAGGAAGCTACTTTCTCTTCATCGCGGCACAATTTCTACCCTTTTGGCCCACCTGATGTCAGCATTTCACTATTCTGTCAGAGGGTCCCATAGGTGGAATACTGCATTTCTGTTTAAACAAAAAAAAGGGGCAAAACCTCCCTTTTTAAACTCTTTCTGCCACAGGGTAATATTAAAGCTGATGAATCAATTTTTCTCCTTTGCAGATCATATTCAAGTTGCTTTCTGGCAGTTCCAAAAGTAAATAGAACTGTTGCTCCTAGGTAAGATGCGTGTTTGGCTTACTGAAGAAGCTGACCTGAAAGAATATTCATGATTGTGCCCTGCATAGGAGGCTGTATCTAGACAGGATAATTAGTGTTTCTGCTAAGCACCAGGGAAGATGGGAGTGGCATGTGTTTCTCAGAGCTTTTCAGAATGTGTGGGGGTGTAAACTATGAGGTAGTTTTAGAAACGTAAGAGCAAAAAGTACACAGATTTCTGCTGGAGACTGCTGCCAAGAGCTGAGCAGGTTCTTGCATTAAACTTGGGATTGCTGAGCAGTGAAAACCAGTCATTTACCCAGGTAGGCCCTGAAGGAACACTCTGGCAGCGTGATCATGTTACAACTCTGTTAGTAGTTTAAGTTAATATTTGTTAAAGAACTGAGCTCTGGCTCCTGCATTGCCCTTGTACAGTTGGAATCTCCTGGCTACGGCTCGGTTTTGTTATTGCTGTACTCAGCAGAGCATGGATGAAGCTGTGTAGAGTTGGACACTGCAACTTGCTGTTCTAAGTTCATCAGACCACAGACCTTCCTAACCTCTTGGACCACTGCAATAACTCCAATTACCAAGATTAAAGCTTTCTGTTAGACTCACTAATCACTACAAAGACAAAAAGGATGACAAGCAAAAAATATTACTGCACAGACCCATTGATCCTGACCGCCTCTTGAAGTTTAAAGAGTTCAGTGATCTTGCAAAACCCTTTCTCTTTAAATCTAGGTCTCAAGAGAAGGGAGAGGTACATCAAAGAGTAATTCAACTTTAGCTGCGTAGATGTTTTTTTTAGGACGTAGGAGTTGGATTGCTCTGTTTCAACTAGAAATGAGATTGTTGCATCATAGAAACTAAATTTGCTGTGGCAGCGAATACAAGTTAATTTGACTAGGCTTGTATCATCTAATGTCTCCCAGCAAGATTCTGTGTACACTTGTACTCTGTTTCTCTCCAACTTTAATTGCTTCCCCTCTCCCTGTTGTATCCTGCTGTTTAGAGAGTTCTGGTAGCAACAACAAAATATTCTTTGCTGATTTTATAATCCTTTATCTTGCTGAAGACTGTATTTGTATGTAAAATGCAAACAGAAAGCTGTCACCAAATAGTGACAGTCACAAAAAACTTTCCAGTATTACCCCCTGTATCATTCTTTTTCTATGATGCGTATAGCAGCAGTAACCTCATTCTCATCAATTTTTAAATGAATTAAGCAAAAGACCAAGTTTTGATAAGTAAGAAAGTGAAAGTTTAGGTATAAAACAGTTATTTAAAGCTGTGATAGAAATAAACCTTCTGTCAAGCTGAGCATGTGTATCCACACATGTCGGTATACACACAGGCAGACATGAACACACCTATTTGTACATGTTTACACACAAAATATCACAGTATCTACAGTACACAATATTTACACACAACATACAGATGAGGAGAGGCTGTGTATCTCCCTAATGTTTCTGCTGTGTCAGAATGACTTCAGGACAAGGAAGGTGACACCTGCAGAGCCACAGTCTTGTGTCAGAGGAATTCTGTGCATGTTGGCAGCAGCAGCATTTGGTTTGCAACCTGCTGGTTAGTTAATTTTATAATGGATTGTGTTGCAAGTCAAAGGAGAATTAACTTCAGTTTGGTCTGTTGAATAAATGTGGACATCTGTAAAACTTATTTTTAATATTCCGACCTCTCTGCTTGAAACTCCTGTTATTTTTCCAGAAAACATTGATCAGATGGAATGCATTCCATGATTTGTGCATTATACTGGGGAGCGGAACTCCACAAAATACCAGTTTCAAGATGTTGGGGGCCAGCACCTTTTCCATAATCCTCAAACTATTTTCCTTTGGATTATTAATATTTTTTTTCAGCTAGTGATAAATGCATATAGAGTTATTATTCTGTTAGGGACAAAATACAAGTATTTAAATTTATTCTTGTTGTGAAAATGACAGGAAATTCACGGTTACTATGTTCTTGTCACACGCCATTCTGCTGCTCTTCCTTTCCCTGTTCAGATTACTGTCATTGCTGAATTCTCTGTGTGTTTAGCCTAAAAATCTGTTGTGTCCCTGTGACTTGAAGTGTTTCAGGTTTGTTTCAGTGGGTTACGAGCAGTCATGGTGTGATAGAACACTGCTTGAATTGTGATGGTACGTTTCTTTCTTTTTTATTTTATTTTTTTTTTCCTCCCTTCACTTGCTTGTAGCAAGCAGTTGAGCAGCTGGTGATTCCCCTGGGAGGAAATCTGGGAATGCAGAAGTGTAAAGGATCCTAACAGTTCTTCCTTCATGATAGCTCGTGTATTCTATTACTCTGGTTACTTACCTGTTCGAGTTTAATTTTTTCTGGGCATTATTTATCCTCAGTTAGTGTCCAAAACCATTGCAAACTTGTATCTGAACACTGATTTCTAGTCATCCTTAGTGTTCTGAATATAAATGTTTCAATTGTCTTTATGTAGCTGTTTGAAATTTGATTGAATTGCTGCATGTTTGTTCGTAGTAGGAAACTTAACAGACTCTTGTCACTTTATTTTTCATTTCTGGGTCTTGCTAACAGTTGCAGGTCACCTGGTCTGGACTTTTTAGTGAGATGGTTTTGAAGACTCAGCAATAATAAAGCTCTGTGTTGGGTAGCAGTTGATGATTCTATTACAGGTCTTTTTAAAACGTTCACTGTAATCCTTCTGCTCTTGGATCATGCCCTGACTAATCTCTTTCCACTTGCAGTCTAAGTGCAAGAAACCATTCTCTTATAGCATGGATTTAAATTTCAATAGTAACTGCTGCAAACCATACACCCTCACCTTCACCAACATTACAGTGTAATTATGAGCTTAATACTATTTATCACATATTATACTTCTCTTTGTACAGTGTATGCAAGTGATGAAGTTGCCCAAGACTGATATTCCAGCCCCAGAACAGAGCCAGATAACCTTGAGCCTCTGCTTCCACATGAGTCTGGAGGTGCTACTGGTGGCAAAGGAAGCCACAAGACCAGTTCTGCCTGTATGTGAGATCAGAGAGGAGGGAATGGATATGTTTTTAAAAGTATTTATCCTTTTGGTGAGTTGTTGGTGAGGAACAGCCACTGTTATCTGCACAAACTCAAAGTTGGAACAGTTCTTAATATCTTTCTGTGTTAAATATTGCCACATATCATGTTCATGTTTCTGCCTAGGCCTTAGATGCTGGGTGGTTTGTGATCATGAAGGTATATAGTGTGTAATTGATTTGATATTAATCTACCTAAGAAATGATCCCTTTTCATAGATTGAGTTCCCCTCTTTATTCCCTCTGCTGCCAGGTAAGCTGAGAGAGAGACTTCCCCCCATCCCCTTGGCACTCACCTTAAAGTAAGGGAAGTGTTCCGTCATGAAATTGTAAATCTCACTGACTGGCAAACTCCCTGTCTTGCTGTTTTTGAGTGCCATGAAGATCAGGATGCTTCAGAGAGAGAAAGAAAAAAAATTTAGCTTATTCTGCTTGACTCCTCAGAAGCAGAAAATGAGTGTTTTTTCAGTGTATGTAATTACTGTGGCTTGCACTGCCTGAGCATGAACACTGATGATACTCAAAGTTTCCACCCAGTTGTTTACAATCGGTCTCCTTACACTGCTTAACTTCTGGAGGTAATTCTGAAAGCACACATAGAAGGTCCAGCCAGGGCTTAAAATAAAGTAATACAAACTGGAATCAAGTCCACAGCCTTCAAATTCTACTAATGTGTTTTTATTTAAGGCTGTGTTTGAATGATAAAGGCCCCAAGAAGAGTGTCAAAATGACAGTGAAAGAAGGTACAATTAAAATGCAATTGTCTGGTCTACTGTGTTAAGCTGCTCTCTGGGGGCTAAACCTGTGTGGTGACTGGCATATCTGATATGGTTTTTAGGCATTTCTTTGCCATAATAACTGGAGAAAAAACATTAGATTTAATACAGGTCCTGGAGAAGACAACTACAGGTGATTAGTCTTGTGCTGATGAAATTTGCAGCACCTAAGGTTTTATACTGGAGAAACATCTAGCTGTTGTGGGGTGGTCAAAACTGTTCACAAGCTTTACAACATTGCATTTCCCTCTGCCTTGGCCCCTGAGTCTGGAACATGTTGTGATTCATACAAACAGGACAGAGCACACTGGGAGCAAGACAAATAAGACTAAGCATGTTGTTGCAAATGATGCTGGAAATAGGCCATGGGTAAACAGTGTATTTCCTGTAACATTAGAACCTGAGAAAGTATGTTATTACCTGTAGGAGTAGATGGGTTTGGGAAACAGAGGCTGCTGGGATTCTTGACTGCTTTGAGGAGCGATTCGTTGGTAGGGGTAGTGCGAAGAAGTAATGTAAGTCACAGGATAGCTGCCTCCCGAGGAATACTGGTGGTAGAGTAAAAGAGATGTTACTTGACCTATCAACAAGCTTTCAAAAATACTTATTTCTTAATAACATTATTAAGCTAGCTCTGAGGATGTTGCTTTCTGCCTATGTTTCATACCTGTTTTGCCAACCCAGATGTAGTCTTTCTAGCATGGTATGGAAGACATTAATATTACTTGTTAATACCCAAAAAGTAGAAGAAACAGGGCATGGGTGAGGAGGAGCTCACTGATACGTTGACTGTTACCAGATGCTGTTTAGTGTGTTACAAATTGAAGGATGTAAAAAAAGTACTTTCTTATTGCCTGTTATGCTACTGAGTTCTTGTGAAAAATGGGACTAACTGAACCCTAGTAATTGTCTCCAGAAAATTCATAACAGCATCCCAAAGTATCTGTTCAAATTGCTGTTACCAGGTGAGGAAGTAAAAATCCCCAAAACAACAACCACCAAAGCTGTAGTGGATGTGTACACAAAGTGGGTGTGCTATTCTAGAATAAGTTAGTAGTGTCATTCCAAGGGACAGACAAGTGGCATATGAGATGTTTCTCAGAGGTGGTTTTCATATTGCCTGCCTTGCGAGGCTGTGAGGCTACTGTCATAGTCAGTGGCAAGAAACAGGCTTCGGGAAGGGGCTGGGAGTTTAAGGGCTTCAGGCAGCTTTCCTCACCCCCCCCCCCCCCCTTTTCTATATCAGAAAGCTAAAAAGATTATCCAGGGTACCTGAAATCAGATAGCATTTGTGCTACCCTCACCCTATCCCTTGGGACAAGCAGCAGAATGCTCCTCAAGACTGAAGTGCTAAGCTGTCTCCTCAGGAGATCTCTAAGCCTGTCCCACTCTCAAGACACACTAAAGAAATCACTGGCCTATCATGCAGTCACCAGGATAGAGATATGCCCATGCAAAAAAACTGGTGAAAGAGGGGAGATAACACGCACAGATAGCCTGGATTGCATCAGAGTTTCTGTAGGTTTGCTCTCACTTTTTAAACACAGCAGTTGGTCACCTTTTTCTTTTCCAAATTACAGTTTAAACCTGCAAGTGAGCAACTTTCAAGAACAAAGAATCACTGCTGCTGAGGTGAGATACCATCAATTTTGCTCTCCAAGAGGCAAAGGCTCCCACTGAACTCAGAGCTCAGTGTGAGAGGAATTTCTGCCTCTTACAGATGAATCTTTGCAGATGCCAGGGCTAGGGCATGGCCAAAATTAGGAGTCATGTCATATGCTATTAAAAAACTACCTGCATGCCTTCCCTAGTACTCAAAGGCTGCTGAGCCCTGTTCCAGTGTTTTACTGCTTAGATCTAGAAGTCATGTGTCATGAGAGTTTTATGGCTCCTTTGAAAGATTATAATGTAGCTTTCGAGACTGGTTGGGAAAATCTCCTTGGTAATTTATACGTCTCCTTAGTTTCTTACTGTCATTCCTATTTTCAGACCAATAACTTCTGTCGCTCTTGGTCTTTGTTGCCTTAAAATGCATGTGAGAGTTTATCATGTGCTTGCAAAATGTTCATAGTTAATGTATTTATTCTGGATTCTGAATAATTTATTTCAGTTTCTAAGTAATTTGACTGTTGTTGCTTGAGTTTTTTGTCTGTTTACTTTTATCTAACGCTGAACTGCCTGAAATGGAATGTGGACAAACATACTGAATACACTAATTTGTTTGCTATGGTAAACAGGGTGAAAGAAATGAGATGTACATACTCATTCATCATGTCCTGCCTTGTTAAACTAAATCCTGGGCAAAACGGCAGTCTCCACATTAACCTTGAACTATTTTCCATGTGCAGTTCTGTGCTGCCTGGTTTGTTGCATAGTGTGTGGGTTTTGCACCAGAGTAGAAAACTGGGTAATTCATACAATGATTTTGATTTTATTAGTCTTGGTGGCTCTTTGAAAGGAAAGAATACAATGATGGGGCTGGTTGTAATGTCATCAGCAAGGGCAAGAACTGGGTGTTTTAAGGATTATTTCTGTTTTATTGGTTTCATTACTCCTTTTTGAGGGAACAGAGGCTGGAGAATGGTCTGGTATGACAGGCTTGAGCTGGTTTTACAGTCGCACAACTGGCATGAAAGGTGTCCATGTTTTATGGTGGGTGGGTAAGTGACTTCAGTAAGCGTCTGCTACTTCTTTCAGGTCAACAAGAAGTAATTTTTCTCATGAATCATCATCTGCGTTGTGTCCAGCAAAGGCGAAGGTGAGGCCATTTTATCATTTGGACAAAATTAACCAAAGAGTTGATGTCTCTCATCCCTCTAATGAAAAATGAGGCGTAGTTTGCACATCCTTCACTCCAGGCTAAAGGGCCCGTTCTCTGGAGTGTAACTTCCTAGTGATTTTAATTGCACTGCTCCATTCAAATTTTAAATGTAAAGTATTAATAATAGAGCTGCTTCATGCAAAAGATGTTATTCCACTTCTCCTCTGTCTTGTATCACATGTTCTTTCATTTTCCAGTATCTGATTATGGCACACAGACAGCAATTCTACCTGTTATGATGCTGGCTGCTTATGCCTATTGTTTCTTTCCTCTGAGTAGTAGAACATGTTGCCATACTTTTACTATAATAACATTAAGAAGCACAAATATTGAAAACTCTAACAGAAACCTGCTGCATGTAAGAGATCTGTCACAGTGCCAGCCTGCAGGTGGATGGAAGCCTGTCCTCTTAGTGCTTGTTGTATCTTGCCTGGCAGCTCCCAGAAGGTGTATTTCAGCTTTAATTTTGTAGGTTTTTTGAATGTGGTTAATGCCAGTGTGTAGTAATAGTTCTGATGTGAACTCAGCAGTGACAGAGGAAGGGTGTCTGCCACAGGATGAATAAAGAAATTAGAAATACTCACTGAGTTAACAGCTGACTGGAGTTTCTGCTAAAGCAAGCTGACATTTACACTGTGAGATGTGTGGTACTGTGGCACATACACAATGTCTGTACTGCAGTCCCTGTGGGGAGCTAGTTTATATTTGTAGCAGGATAATCCTTCATCTGGGACCCTTCTAAAATAACAATAAGGAAATAATCCAATTTGTAAGTTAGAATGGTAGTGTAATATCACCTTTCTTATTCTGTTTTATTACCTTTTATCATTTCTAGTGAGTTTTAGGCTAACAAGAAGCTCTAGTTATGAAGGTATTGATAAAACTGAAAAGATAGTTACCTTTTTGCCACATTATAGGGGGGAAAAAAGGAGGTTTGGTGAATTCTGGCTGGTGGAATTCCAGAGTGGTAGGTAAAAGAAAAAGCCAGGAGTGAGATGATTCTGTAGCCATACTTCCTGACTCAGTGTAGGAGAACTGCTGCTCTGTTATTCATGCCTTCTCACATCTGTTTAGCAGCTGTACACTTGACAAGGAACCTGAGTTGAGAAGCTGGTACTTGAGGGTGCTCATTGAGCTTTGTCACACGAGCCTGTGGATCAGTTTAACTGGTCCCAGACACTAGAAGTTCGGAAAGGCCATAAAAGCTCTCCTAGTGGTTAATAGTCCCTATTTTATTCCATTCTGTATCTGAGGGGTTATCTACTGTAATAATGAAACATCTTCCTTTAAATTTCAGTAGACAGGTGGGGGATTTATAAGTATGAAAAATACACACTTAAATATGAAAATCCATTGCTGAGAATGGAATTCTTTCATTCTTCCTTAGTCATGTTTTACCAAACAACTAAAATTCCTAACCAATCACCTGTGACAGATGATTTAGTTTTATCAATGCTGATAAAATCCCAACATTTATCTATTCTCATTCTTTATGGTCATCCAGCATCTGTTTTCAGATGTTACTTAAGTTTCCTCTATAAGAAAATCATGCCAGAAATAACCTTTCTTTTTCCTCATAAGGGACTAAATCCTGATGATGAATGGTATGATTATTATTTCAATGTTTCAGACTAGTAGCACCATATGAATTAATCCCAGTGAAATATCATACAGTAACCTGCTCTTTGTTTGCTTTGCACAGTTTGAAATCACTGCTCAGTTAGTCACAGGTTTTATACTTCTTGAGCAAGTTGAATGAGATGGTACAGTTGATTCCAGTATCAGTCATCAGCCACTGGGATCAAAAGAGTCCTAACTCAAGTGTGAGCTTTTATGGTCAAATATTTTATATATGTGAATTTGCTGTAAGTTTAATTCAGTTGTAAATGTTAGGAGCTATAGCGATTGTGCTGGTTTTGTACATGGATTTCTGCCTCTGTAGCTGTAAAATCCTCATTGCCTTAATTTCACTTTAAATAAGTTTTGGAGGTTGTTTGTTTTAAATAGGGAGTTTCAAGCAATGTTTTCAATGCATTGAACAGCACCACCATTTATATCTAGAGGAAATAAGTTAAATTCATTTCAGAGTCATGAGAATGACTTTGTGACACTCACCCTCCCTCTATGCCAGGTTTTCAAAGCTCAGTAGATCACACTCACTAACATCTATAAATAGGTACTAGGATCACATGTATTAAGCATTAAGGTATATATGTATGATCTTCCAAAGATACTGTGTATATACTGCTTTGAAAATAGGAACTGACCTGTATTCAAATGACATCTAAACACACTGAACAACAAGGTGTCAGTTGCTGCTGTGCATTTTTAGTATTAACAATATAGTTACAGAAGAACAGCCCTAATATTGTGCATTCTCATGCATCATCAGCATTATTGTCAATTATGCTTCGCTGAATAATCTTTCACAGGGGATGATGTAACAGTCAAAAGATTGCAAAAGAGATGTGTATGCTGTCAAGCGCAAGCAGAATGAACATTCTCTTGCTGTTAATGTCTTGTTTTAAGAGTGGGTTTCTATCCTCATCTGAATTTTCAGTATGCAGCCATGTATATTTAATTTCTTATTCTGAAGTTAAAGCACAGTTAATTCCCTGGGATCCTGAAATGCCAACACTTATGTTGATAATTTATCTGCTTTCAAAGTGAATTTTCTTGAGCATGATGGTAAAAACATAAATAAGCAGAACTGAGATTCTGTTTGACAAAGCTTTTTTTCCCTTTTTTCTTCTGCCCATGCATTAATATTTATAAAAAAATTTAGATGTGACTCTTTTAAGATCTCATTGTCATAAAAAGAATGTATGTATATAAACATGGCCCCACAAACACCACTTCAGCAGGCATTGTTTCACCTGTCTGTTTGTATTACTACCATAACCACTGTATCATTATAGTGCTAGAAATACGGGATTTGGTCTCTATATAGTACTGACCTGATGGAAAGGATGTGAGGGGCAATACATCTGCTGCACTTGAGGCTGATAGCAATACAAACCAGGCTGCCCTTCCAGGGGGGATGTCCTGAGCTTCATGTCTGGATCCTGCTAGAAAATATTTGAGGGAAGAGTTATTAGAGAAAACACCTCTACTTGAAATAGAGCAATTCTGTTAATTATAATTCTGATTTGTCTTTCTTTAAGCTTACTACTTTTCTGGACTTGATCCTGTCACAGTAAGTGTTAGAATTTGATTTATATTCTAGCATACAAAAAGAAACATTTGCTGTGTTTATATAATTACCACTTTAAAAAAGGAAATCCTAAGCCAAATTGCATGCAAAGAGCAACTCAGAAAATGCCAGTTTCTGTTTATCTTTCTTCCCTACACACAAACTGCCTACTCCAGCTTTCCTTCTGGAGTGTGCACATGTGCCTCTGTCTCTTCTTCACATTGCTTGATTTTATCTTGCAGACTGTCAGTCCCTTGAGCTGATGCTGGAGTTATGTCATTAGCTAGAGGGTGAGGTGCCACAGGAAAGAGGTGGCAGAGATGACTCAGACTAAGGGGACTACTGAATTTGATCAAGATACAGGAAACATCATAAGAATGGGATTTATTTCTGCAACTGGAAATAAAGGTAGAAAAGTTCATCAAGTCTTAATTTCTCCCAGGTCTGCCCAGCTGCCTGTCCTGGATTCACATGGGATTTCAGTCTGTTAAGGGCTAAGGTTCCTGAATATTAAAACTTGCTGTGTAGTTGGAATGCTGAGTGCACCATATGGTGTGTAGTAACACCATCTGCTTTAGAAGAGCAATTCAAGCAAACTGCGTGCTAAGCAGAGAGCTCCAGCAGTGAAGGGAATGATGTGCCTTGAGCAGTGTCCTTATCCATGCATCTAGTGACTGACTTTAGGTTCTTTTTCCTTAACATCAATAGCCAGGAATTTTCTTCTGAAAGTTGATGTCATTGACATTCAAGGAAGGCCATAAATACCATCTTTTATGGTATAGGTTAGTGTAGGGGGTGCATGTTAGACTTGGTTTGATATCCTGGCACCAAGCAACTGCCACAGCAAATATTAATAAATATCCATGCTGTTTTGGTGACCATAAGATGAAGCATTTCAGAAATGTCGACTTGCCAGCAGCACGTAAGCTGTTCAAGGGATCTGAAGTTGCTGACTGTTCAGACATTAACAAGCAGCCAGTCATTTCCCGAGTACTTGCATCTACGTGGTAAAAGGCTTCTGCTGCACTGGCTTTACATTTGCTACAATGTGCAGCCCAGGGATTTGGGAAGAAAATGGGGATTTTTTTCATCAATGGCTCACAGGTTTTGCATTAAACTCATCTGACCTAGATGAGTATTTATTCAGGAAATAAGAGATTTAGATCAATTTCCTTCTTAACCTGAATGGCTTCAATCCCCAGGTATGTACCCTGACAACATCCCTCCATTCCCTGGTAAACTGTCTTAATCCAGGTGAGATGTTGGGGGTATTTTTAACCCTTCTTTCTTTTGGTAACCCTCAAATTCTTTGCCTCACAGCAGCAATTTAGAACCAGTGGTTAGGGCCCTCTCCTGGCAGGTGTAGTCATTGTTTTTGTCTGCTCTAGATTATAAAGATACGCTTTACACTTTGGATCACAGTAGAGATACTTTGTGGAGATACTGGAGGGTAATTTCCCTTGCTTTTTAGGGATTTGTGTGCTGCCTGAAATAGGCACTTGCTTCTCTCCAGCATGGACATCAGCCCTTTTCACTTTACTTTGCACTGCACATACCATAAACAGATCTTGTATTTAAAGTAATTCTGATGTCTTAGAGTTTCTCTTCTATTTGCAGCTCAGCCAACATGTTGTAGCAAATCTGTCATATGTGTGAAAAATACTGTGCTGAGAATTTTTGTCCCTTGAAACCACAAGTTAATGATAATTACTGCTGTAAAACCTGTTGTCAGGAAGAATCTGGATATTGAGCATTCATGTATTGTGTCTAGTGGAAAATCATTTGTCCTTATGCACTTTTTGGGGGACTGTTTTTCAGTAGGAAAAGGCCATGAAATAGAGAACTTCAACATGTAAATATGATTGTCTATTCTGAGCTCCAGCCTGCAACTTGACAAGAGACTAAATGCCCAGGTACTCTCATTAAGAGATAAGAAAATAATCCAAAAAGTATATTTTTGCAGTTGAAAACAGGGGAAAAAAAAAGTAGAAAAGAATACTGACCATGACTTGTGAAGTGTGATCTTGACCTGTGGTGCTGTACTGGAGGCTGTTACACCAGGGTTGTTCTGTGGAGATGTTTGGAATGTGTGTCGGAAATGACTCTGACTCATCAGGACCTGTAGATCCTGGTAGACCCTCAAACCCATCGATGCTTCTGGCATTTTTGAAGGGTGAAGCTTCTGGTGGGAGGTTTTGATGTGCTTCCTGGAAGACATCTTCACTGATCTGCCTCTTGTAAGGGTGAAAGGGGTTTCTGCTGCTCTTGAGAAACCTGTCATAATTTCCTGCAGTGCTTTCCTCGTAACTGAACCTCCTGAACTTCTCAGTACTGAAAGATGCTTTAAATTTGTTCTTGCCACAGTGAATTCCTTGGCTTGTAGGATATCTCCCATGAATCTGATCCTGGGCTGGAGAAGCAGGGCTGGGGCTGTGAGAAGACTCTGAGCTCTTCCTTTCTGTCCTGCCGTCTGACTCGTATGGTTGGCAATTGTAACTGGGATTATCCTGCAATGGATTATTGGCATTTATCTAGGATTAGCATGAGCAAATATTATATTATTTTCATTATTTACAAAAAAGTACATTAAAAATATATATAAAATTAGTAGTCCCAGCCACCTTGATGCAGAGAAGCCCTAAAAGATCTAAGGGGGTTTCTGCTTACTTGATATTTAAACCTGTTCAAAAGTAAATTAATAAAAGCAATGAGAAGACTGAACTATCTTGGAAAAACAGGATGTCTCGGGTAACTATTGACTAGTTGGTCTTACAATTTCAGGGCAAAGATGATGTATGATCAAATGATGAAAGATTAAATGACAGGAATATGATAAGTGCAAGTCTTGTCATATACAGGTTTAGTCAAATAAGCTTGATCTCATTCTCTGATGGTGTTACAAGCTGCCAGATATGTTGGTAGTTACATCACTTCCTTTCATTAACATAGCCACACTCATTCTGTGAGACAGGGAGGCTCTAGGCAGACATCTGAGCCTTCTTCCTGTCTCATCTCCTCCCTTCCCTTTTGCACTTCAGCAAAAAGAAAATAACAGCTACTGAAGTGCTCTTTAATCTAGAAGAGAAAGGCTTAACAAGAACTAGTGTCTGGATCCTGGAGCTGAACACATTCAGCTTAGAAATTATGCGTATTTTCCCTGACATCAAGGATGAGTAACTACTTGGATGCCTGTTGACAAGATGTGCTTAAGTCAAGAGCAGGTTATTGTGCTCAGCGAAGGGGAAAATATAATGTTCTGTGTTACACAAAGTCAGAACAGATGATCAAGTGTTCCCTTTCGTCCTTTCCCCTCCAAATGCAGGTTGGTCTTGCAATACTTTAGGAGAAGAGGTAAAGGAATACGTGCCTTCATGGAAGAACCACATTCCAAGAAGTCCCAAAGGGAAGTTAGCCTAAAAGCTAGTGCTTTCTGAGTGAAGCATGGTACAAGCTTCTTCATTCTCTTGCACGTGGGTCTATATTAAAGCTGTTAATGTTCCATTCTGTCATGGGGTCCTGCAGAAAGCAAATCTGACCTCATGGCACTTTTGCCTTCTCATATGAACGCGAACTTGCTGAGTTTGTAACTTCTTCTTTCTTGCTTCTTTGCTCTTCTCTATAGTCCTATGTACATTTGTTTATGATATCTCTTGTTAAATAAGGATTTCACCCCCCTAGATTTAATTATATCAAGTCATATGAATTTCAGTGTGTCAATAGATGATCCTAAGGTCCTTTCCAACCCTAACAACAGGAGAAAGATCATTTTATTCCAAATAAGACCCAAGGAATTCTGAAGTGCTTGAAGGTATCCTCTACTGGCAGGGTGTAAACAAATAGTTCTGATGTCTTTCTGTCTGTCTGCTTTTTTTATTTATTTATTTTAGAAACAGGGTGAGAATTACTTTCAATGTAGAATTTTTACTGGATTAGTAGCTAGATGGATTTCCTGCTTTTAAAGTAATAGGATTTTTAAGCAATCAAATAGGAAACTTAGAGGGAGCTTAAGATTAGATCAGAACAATAACTCTGGTTTCTGCTCCTCAAGAGTAAAACTTCCAGTGCCAGTTACGAATGCTGAGTGGTGCATCTGAACTTGTGCCTCTGAAGAAAGAGAACAGAACTGGGTCAGCTTACTCACAGTTTGCTGAACTGGGGATACTGAGTCCCCATGTGTCTTCATGAGGTCTTGTTGATCCCTTTCCAGAGTGTCCGAAGAAGAAAACTTAATATTTGCTTGATCTTGGAGTAGTGAAACCATCACCAGAGCCACGCAGGCAGAAACCCTGTCAGGACAAAATCAAATAGTTTCTAAAACTGTAAAAGAAGCCACCGCGTTATGTGCAGGTGTTGAGGCAGTGTCAGACATGCAGCTGGACAGTCCCTGTCCTGATGAGCTCCTAATTCAGTTGAATTATCTGGTATTTGGTGTTAAAGAAGTGTTCTGTAGATGGAATTAGAATTATAAAGATTATAAACTCTGATACAGAGTTTAGATGGATTTGCCACATGATTTTTATAAAATAAGTCGTTTCTTTGTTTTCTGTAAGTTCATAAGTGAATGAAAATGTATCACCTTGGTGTTATGCAAATTGAACAATATTACTTTATTGAGAGAATATAGATGCACCCCTGTTGCTTTCCATGGGACTATACCAAATGAAGAGGGTTTTGGTAGGATTACTCAGACTGATGGTTTCATTTTGCTTTTTCATTAGTACCAATCCCTTCAGCCTTTTCATTCTATTTTGCATTATTAAATGTATCTGAGAGATGTAAATAACTCCATCATTCCATACCTGTTTTTGTTAGGTGGATCTCCTCTCAAGTTCCCAATCTTTGATCTTTGGATATACGAGACATATCTGATGGTGCTCTTTGGATTAAGAGGAACACATTTAATCTTCTTGGATTTTGTTTTCTACCATGGGTTTTCCCAGTCCTTGTGCACTGGAACCATACACCCTCTTATGTCACACATATAATGCTGCACCAAGTTTGTGCCTATGTCAAGATTTCTTATGTTCATACTTAGATTTGTACAAGTAGGGGGGAAAAAAACACTTCAAGAGTTAATTTGCAAGGTCTTTGCCACGTGTTTAAATGGCTGTTAGGTAAATAACTAAGGGCTTTATTAGGTTTGATTAACAAAGATGTATCACCTAGAAATGTGGAAAACCTTTTTGTCTTTATAGTTCAAAGGTAACTCTATATTTATGATGAGTAAGACTGCACTGCCTGAGGGGATAAAGCACAATGGGCCTTGGAAATCAAGTATGAGACCTATAGTAGTATATCAGGAAAAAATGATGTTAGATAAAGTTCAGAGATTTCTTAGGTGCAGACTCTTTTCTTGAGGCTGATGAGGAGATAGACTTCCTACTGACTCTCACCTGGAAAGAAGCAGGTGGGAAAACTGACAAGTAGGAAATATATGTGTGTATATTTGTAAGTGTTCCACACTGTGCCCTCTTACTGCTGGTTTCCCACTTATCTTCAGGTTATACAAAGCTGTGTCTGACTTCTCTTTTACACTGTAATTTTTCAACCTAGCTTCCCAGTTTGTGGTCTTATACATTAGAATTTTATGAAAAGCTTTTGTAAGTTAGGATCCTTGTCCAATGGCTTTTGCATTGCAAGAGACATTTGACAAATGGTCACAAGTAAAGAAAAAGGAGGAGCTTCAAGAAAGATTAATGAAAATAACAAAATAGGTAAGTCTAAAAGCTCTGGATTTTAGATAATGCCTGAAGCTTTTCTCTTCTCATTGTGTTTACCATTAGTATCTGTGATAGAGCAAGGTAAAAAGAAGCATTATCTATAAAGAGCTAATTCAACAGGTTAGAAAGCTCTGGCTCTGCTTACTGAAGGCAACCACACTTCCTCTCTGAAAACAAAGTGAATATATCATGGTTATTTGGGCAGCCAATACTAAACAACCAGGAAAAGCAAATTATTATTGTGTCTCCCCTCCAAAACTTTTGTTTATGAGTTTAATTTTGCTCTCAAGGAGGCTGATGAGAAATGAGGTGTTTTACTGCTGGTTTAAAACGATAAAAATCCTCCCTGCATAGTGAAAGTGCTTTACTGAATATTAAAGGAGAGACAGCCTTGTACTAAAACAATGTCAAGATGATTGTCTGCATTCAGTGGTGGTTACTTAATGCCTTTGTCAGGAATCCATTTCAGATGGATCTCCCGTGGGGGAAGAATCCCAGGCCTACTACCACAGTGCTGTTTTCAGTTTACACATTAAGATCAGCACCATTCTTCAGCAGCTCAGGAACAGCTGCCTCTCCGAGTTATCCTTATCCTGGAGCTGGCATGCTATGGATACGTCTTGCTGTGAGAGAAAAACCTCTGGTCGCATACATCTGACATCCTAGTTTTTCTTGGAGTCCAAACTGCTCCCTCCAAAAGCCATTTGCAGCCTCACTTGCACTGGTATGTATCACGACTGGCTGTGAATACAGATAAGTAGAAACTGCCAAATTAACATACTGAAACCCCTTTGCTGTTCCAGTTCTTTAAATCTCATTTTCTTGTTTTTAAAATGTCCCTTTGTGACACTAACTTTAATTGTCGAAAGAATATATACCAAAACCCCCAAACAACAAAACCACTTTGCATTCTTAATAGAGAATTTAACAATGAGAAATCAGACCACTTACTGGCAAATCCTCCTTAAGACAAGAGATTACAGTCAGTAGAGGTTGTCAGTAATCGGGATTACATGAAATCATTTACAATAAAGTGTTCCTGGGAGACAGAGAGCTTAAGGAAATTGTGGGTTGTCAAGCTGGAGGACGTGTTAAAAAAAACAATGATGCTTTGATTTGGAAAAAGGTGTCTGATTATCCCAGATGTAGCTGGAACCATTTCTCCTTAGCTTATGTCATTTTGACTTCTGTAAATGTTGCGTGACAATCCCGGGCTCCGGTGATGTGATAACTATCTTCCAAGAAGAAAAGAGTGAGAAACTGTAACCTCAGCTGAGCGTTTGGATAAGCAAGATAGCAGCAGCTGATCTATTAGCTCTGCATGACTGAAGTCCTGTGGCAGCAATCCATAGCTTAAACAATTCTGGGGTTTGTGTCTTTTCTGGCTATTTTGCTGGTGATACACTTCATCAAAGCTCGGCCTCAGCAATCCCAACTGCACTCAACGCTGCATGTTACTGTAAATGCCCTCTCCATCCCTTGGGGCTGAGATCAGTTTTCATGAGAGGAAGGTGTGTTTGGATGTTCCCCAATTCATAATTCATTCTGTGTGCATGCCTTAGGCAGCTCACTGATCCTTGCTTGACACTGGCTTCTGTGATCTACTCTCTTCTCTGCCCCCTCCCCAAAACACTAAATCATCTTTTTTTCCTCTCCTCATCATGCCAATGTTTTTCATTGTAAGAAAGAAGTAACTATTTGGGACTTTTTTTTTCCGTACTCTTTTGTGAGAAAGGAGTCAGAGAAGCCAGTCTATAGTTAAAAATCTGTCCCTGCATGATGTCAAGTTCCAAATATTGTAGAAATGACCAAAATCTTGTGCCTAACACTTGCCATGGAGACAGGAATATTTCTACATGTAATAATTCATATGGGAAACTTCCAGAAGAAAAGGAATTTGTCAATGAGAATCAGAAGTTTTTGTGGTTTACAATAAATTCAAGACTTTTCTAAGCTTATTGATGACATATTGACACCAAGCACTATGCTGGGTTGTGGTTGGTGATGGCTTTGTTGATCGCTAACATTCTTGTCAGTAAGGCTTACCCTATTTTTAGAAAGCATCTCCAGGAGCAGGATTTCAATCTGCACAGCACTAAACTCTGGTTCCAATTTCTTACTGCTTTGTGCTTCTCTTAATAGTATGTATTGGACCTTGATTATAGCATACTTGAATAGATGTTATAGAGCTTCTAAGGGTGGTATTTTCTGCTCTTCTGAATTTAGACCTGTTTGGGAGTCTAACTATGCTATTTTTGCTTTCTTACTCAAGGGCTCTGAGCTCAATCCTGTCATGGGTAGGTAGTGGTTACTGCCCACATTCAGCTATCTCTGGAAATGACTTCTTCATATTTAGTAGGAGCATGTGGGAAACAAGCTTAATTCATCAGGGCAAGAGCAGTGATAATTTCAACTATGGGTGAAGAAAGTTTGCAACCATGAAACCCTTTCTACATCATATTACATGGGATGTGTTTGCTCTTAGTAACTGTTGGAGAGGAAGAAGCATTTGGCCACAGCTCTTTACAGCTTGCATGATGTTACGTCTCTCCATGTGAATCAATTCCTATGGAATAGTGACTCTGAGAGTGTTATAAACAGCCTGAATGTTACAACAGTGCGTGAGTTTATGTGTTTGTAGCTGGTTTTCAGAACTCCATAGAAGTGTGGATTCTACTCAAGTAGGTCTGGTTGTGGAATAATCCCATGTGGGTTTGGGTTTGAGGCTTGTTACATGAACTGACACTTGTCTAGAATAATGATGAACTTTATTTGCTAAGTCTAAACTGAGCAGGTTTGTCTAGTGGGAGATGTTAGAGTTTAACATTAAGTCTAATGTAATTTATTATTTTCATTAGAGATTTGAGAGAAAGTAAATAAATTAATGATATCCACATGTAGTAGTAAATTAAAATTGCTAACACAAATATTACTGAAGGGAAGTGGGTACTAGAAACATGGTGGCATTATGAAATAGCAGAAGATGTAATGACAAATGGGAAAATGATGAGGAAGCAGCTTGGATCTAGCAGTTCTCTGAGAACCTGAAGAGTGATAGACAGTGAAGCAGTCTGCAATGTCACAGGCCATTAAGAAGTCTACCAAATTTCAGGTCACCTACATGAAGGTGAATTCACCTAAGAGAAGGATGCCATTTTTTATGAGATCATTCCTGAATTATCAGGGTTTATTTTTTCATCAACAGCTACCTGTAGGCAAGGCTGAATACCACTGTGTGCTCTAGAGAGACTTAGGGTAATTGCCACTGTGTCCAGATGTGCTCTGAAGCAGGAGTGGTGAGGAGCTTCCTGGTAGGTGGAGAGAAGAGTGGGGTGTTTGCAGCAGGTTTTTAATCTGCTCTAGGAACACACTTATAAAATACTACAGCTCTCTGTATAAACAACCTTCAAAAAGTCCTTGCAGAAGACTGTGATTTATTACATCCATGCTCCATTTTCCTCTTTTCCAGGCTGAAACTTCCTTAGTAAATCCCCATTCTGAAGCTTTTGGTTATACCTGCAGCCCTCCCTTGAACAACTTCTGCTAACACCCTTCTGGGACCAAAACAACATGTAGCATTCAAGATGTAGACACGCCACAGTGTTTACACAGCAGATATTCCCCAAGTAT